GTGTCAAGTAGCACTAGTTGCCCAACTGCAAAGATGAGTCCCCGTCGTAAAAGGTCGGTGTATTTGCGGGAAGTGGTATTCGCCTTGCGAATTGGGTTCGCAGCTTTCTCGCGAACTTCCTGTAATTACGTCACAAATGTTTGTGACCGCGGGACCGGATTGTCGAGTGTAATCGTTGTAGGCACTATCGGGTCCATTCCGTAATTTAAAAAGAATGGGGAGCGATTAGTCATGCTGTACGGGGCATTGTTGAAGGCAAACTCCAACACGGCAAGCGAGTCTTCCCAGCGAGCAGGGTCGGAGCAGTTCGTCCTGATCAGCTACTCCATGGTCTAATTGGTCCGCTCGGTCTGGCCGTCCGTTTGCGGGTGGTATGCCGAGGAGAACTGTAGCTTCGTGCCGTACTGCGCTCACGTTTCCTTCCAAAATTTCGACGTGAATTTCGGATCTCGGCCGCTGATGATCGCCGAGGGAATTCCGTGCAGACGCACGACCGTTGAGATGAAGAGGCGTGCAGTTTCTTCTGCTGTGATTGTTGTACGACACGGTGCGAATGTCAAACATATATGCTATAGTCTTTCTAGGCTGTAGTGGGGTAGTTCATATAGGGTACAACACTTTTAGGTTTCCTACTTGTACCCACCTGCTTGCTAGTTCAGTCATTCCGCTCTTTACTATTCTGACAGCGAAGTGCGCCATTTTCGTGAGACGATCGACGACGACGAGAACAGCGTCGTTGCTGGACGGTCCAGTTGGCATTCCTGTGACAAAATCCATTGTCACTTGTTGCCACGGTCGTTCGGGTGGCTTGAGTGGTTGCAGCAACCCAGCTGGCCGTTGACGTGTCGATTTCATGGCTTGGCACACCCTGCATGAGGAAACATATCGCTGCACGTCGTTAGAGGAGCCAGGCCAATAATAGTGACGGTGCAGTAATTTATGGGTTTCATCAACCCCGAAATGTCTGAAGAAGTTGGAATCGTGGACCTCTAGGATAAGGAGTTCATGCAGCAGTCGGTAAGCGGGAACCCAAATCCGGTCAGTTCCGGCCTTTAGGTAATAATCCCATTTCTGCGTCGTGGCTTGCTGGTGATTTCCGGTCGTGAAGAACGGGTCCGTAGTGTAGCCGTGGGTGAATCATCCCGTAATTAATGGGTTCGAATGGTGAATAAGTACTGCAGCGGATTGTACTGTCGGTCGGGTCAGGGCGTCGGCGATGTTATTTGCCCCCTTCTTGTATGTGATGCAGTAGGTGAAGTGGCTCTCCATATAGTCCAGCCACCGAATCTGTCTCGGGTTGAGGTTGGGCTGAGCTCGCATGTATTGTAGGGACTTGTGGTCCGTGCGAACAGTGACGTCGGCGCCCACCAGGTAGCAACGCCACAGTTTAAACGCGTGTATAATGGCGAGCATCTCCTTGTCGTGAATCGGGTAGTTGCGCTCGGCTGCCTGCAGCTTGTGTGACTCGTAAGCTATCGACTGCAGCCCGTTCCCGAAATCTTGGATTAGTACAGCTCCGACGGCGAAACTGGAGGCGTCGGTGATGACTTCGAACGGCCTTGATGGGTCGGCGATGCGCAGCACGGGAGGGGAAACCAGGAAATTGTTCAACTCCTGGAAAGTCGCCTCTGCCTCCTCCCCCCACACAAAATTCCTGTCCTTGTGCAGCAGGTCGGTCAGCGGGCCAGTTATGTGAGAAAACAGGAATGAATGATTGACTAGAAAATGAGTTGGGTACAAATATGAAACCCTAGAAATCTGTACCCCATAGTGTCTACCCCACTATAGCCTAGACAGGCTATGAGATTAATGTTTGACACACCCCCATAAGCAAAGTGGGGGAGAACAAGGGGTCACAAGACCAGTCAAGCAAAGCAAAACAAAGCAAGCTCAGGGTGGATCACAACGTCACCACACATTGGTGCTGAGGGGAAGCACAGAACTCAGCAGGAAGCGCAGCGCGGTAGCGGGTGTCACTAGTGCGGAGGTGCGTAATGAGGTCAGTGACTGTGGCAAAAGCGGCGAGGTCAGGGAACAGGTACGGTAGCATGAGGCGACTAAGCGCAGCAGTGGCAGGGGAAGAGTAGCGTGCAACAACAGCGTCGTACAGAGTCTTAGCACTCTTGTACTGACTAAAGTGCGCGCGCTCAGTAGACGGTAGGTGACTACGGTGGAGCTACTGGTGCTGGAGCTACTGGTGCTGCTGGAGCTGGCGGTGCTGCTGGAGTAGGTACTACTGGAGGTACTGGAGCCGGAGCTGCTGAGTCTTCCGGTGGTCCTGCTGGAGCTGGAGCTGCTGTGGGTGCTGGAGTTGACACTACTGGAGCTGCTGGTGGTACTGCTGGAGTTGGTGCTGACGCTGCTGGTGCTGTCTCTGCTGGTTCTGGAGGCGCTACGCGGCCGCGACTGTACTTCGTTCCGCTCCTTGAGCAGGTTCTTGGTCTTCCGCCTTCTTCTGGTCCTGCTCCTTCTTTAGAGTGTCCACCGCCTGTCCAGTCCGAGTCACAGTTACAGCTGGCCTCCCCTCTTCCTGCTCCTTCTCCCTACGCTGGTCCTACTGGAGGTCTTGCTGAGCGTCGTGAGCCTGAGTCGCGTCCTGCGTCGCCTGTTCGTACTGCTCGCCCTAGTCGTCGTGTCCCACGTCAGCGTCCTCCTGCGGTCCCGAGCACGCATCAGATGGCACTGCGTCCTTCCACTGCGTCACAGCGTGTCCCTTTGCCGTCTCCTCCGGCGTCCTCTCTTCCTGCTTTTGCTGACCCGGAGTCTGACTCCCTTCGTGCTGCCAGTCCTACTGTCACGCGTTTTCTAGCCACTGCTGTCACTGACCCTTCCTTTGAGTCCGCTACTGCGTCTGCCTTCGTTGCCGAGCTTGTCGACTTCGCTGCTCACTGTCGTCTACACTACGCCGCTATTCTTGTTGCTGATTCTGAGTCTGTTCCAGTGTTTTGCCGCTGCTTTACCTCATCTCGTGTCCACGCTGCTTGCCCCTGAGGGAGACCCGGATGCACCAGACATTCCGACCCCGCGCTCTTACGCTGAGGCGATAGAGGGTCCCTACTCCTCTCAGTGGCAGGCAGCCATGGATGCAGAGATGGCTTCCTGGAAGTCCACAAGCACCTACATCGACGAGGTTCCCCCACCTGGGGCGAACATCGTCAGTGGCATGTGGATTTTCAGGGTGAAGCGGCCGCCGGGTTCTCCGCCTGTCTTCAAGGCTCGTTACGTGGCTCGAGGCTTCAGTCAGCGGCAGGGAGTTGACTACTTTCAGACCTTCTCCCCGACCCCGAAGATGACCACTCTTCGGGTTCTGCTGCACGTCGCTGCTCACCGTGACTACGAGCTTCACTCCCTTGACTTCAGCACTGCTTTCCTACAGGGCAGCCTGCACGAGGAGATCTGGCTGCGCCGCCCACCTCGCTTCACTGGGTCGTTTCCTCCTGGTACCCAGTGGAGCCTCCGGCGGCCAGTCTACGGTCTCCGCCAGGCGCCCCGTGAGTGGCACGACACACTGAGGACTACGCTTGCGGCTCTTGGGTTTGCTCCTTCCACTGCTGACCCGTCGCTGTTTCTTCGCACCGACACTTTGCTGCCGCCGTTCTACATCCTCGTGTACGTCGACGACTTGGTGTTTGCTACGGCTGACACTGCTGGACTCGCCCACGTGAAGTGCCTTCAGGAGTACGTGACGTGAGTACGTGGTGTCCTTCAGCGCTTCGACTTCACGTACTCCTCGCCTCAGGCCACTCCTCTGTCTACTCGCCACTCGCTCTCAGCTCTGCCTTCGGATGAGTCCGTAGAGCCGAGTGGCCCGTACCCAGAGCTTGTTGGCTGCCTCATGTACCTGATGACCTGCACTCGACCTGACCTGGCTACCCTCTGAGCATCTTGGCACGCTATGTTGCTCCTGGGAGACACCGACCAGAGCACATGGCTGCAGCGAAGAGGGTGTTGCGCTACTTGTGCAGTACGTCGGGCATGGGGCTAGTGCTTGGAGGGCGGAGTCCAGTGGTTCTCACTGGTCACGCAGACGCGTCTTGGATTGACGACCTGGCTACGCAGCGGTCGTCACAGGGTTACACCTTCAGCCTTGGTTCCGGCTCTGTTTCGTGGCGGTCTACTCGCTCGTCTTCTGTTCTCAGCTCCAGCTGTGAGGCTGAGATCTACGCAGGGGCCATGGCTGCACAGGAGTTACGCTGGCTCACCTACCTGCTGACTGACCTCGGTGAGCCGCCTCGTTCTCCTCCGGTTCTGTACGTAGACAACAAGGCCATGTTGGCCTTGTGTCGGGAGCACAGACTGGAGCACAGAACGAAGCACATTGCTCTTCGCTACTTCCTTGCTCGTGAGCTGCAGCAGCGTGGTCAGCTGCGTCTTGCTTACGTGGCCTCCCAGGCCAACACTGCTGATATCTTCACCAAGGCACTTCAGCCTTGTGATCATCAGCGCTTCTGTACTATGCTAGGTCTTATGCCTACTTGGCCTCACTTGCTTACCTCTTGACTCCAGTAGTCTTCAAGTCTTCAGTGACCAAGCCACCTCTGAAGCTCCTTATCGAGGTGCCCCTAAAACGAGGATGGAGTGTGTGAGGGAAAGCTTTCAAATATGGTCTGCTGGTGTGGGTCTTACCATAGATTCAGAACAGCCTTTGCGCCTTCTCAATGCTAGCCGGTGATTGCTTACACCGCAAAGGGGGTATTTAAGCCTACCCTTATTGTAAGGCTGTTTTAGCACCCATACCGGTATGTGTCTTGCTGTACAGTACATATCAACTTGCTTAAGCGAGGTACTTTATCGCATTTTTTCAGCAAGTTCTTTGTACCGGATTCCAACCAAGCATGCCTGATGCAATGGCTGCTACTCAACAAAGCAGTGTCTCAAGAGAATGAGCACAAAACCACTTTGAAATCCAATGCCGTAGCAGGTTAAGTCGAGTTAAAGGCTCAAAACACAGTGCAGCCATTCGCAGGCAGCCGTTGACTCGATTCAGATGTGGAGTTAACTCAGAACACGGCATAGCCATGAGCATGCATGGCTGTGTTGAATGCAGCACCATAGTGCCATGCTGATCCTGTGGATGGGGCATTAGCCACCTGCTTCACAGGCGTGAGTGGTTCTGTTGGTTCCAGGCCTGGCGGAATGTTGGGAAGGGGATGCGAGGAGAGCATTTTGATACCGGTATGTGGGAAAAGGGAGGATGGAAATGAGCTGTTTTTTAGATTTCTCTCAAAAACCAGGTTCCAGGCCTCGAGGAATGTTGGGAAGGGAATACGGGGAGAGGGAACAGAGATGTGCGAATGTGAGGGGAGAAAGGAGGATGAAGGAATTGGGGTGCAAAAGGGCAGTGTGCTGCCTGTGCATGCTCTACATATGTCAGATCATACTCTTAATAAGTCAGAACGCTTTAGACTTCCGTTGCGAAGCACTGCAAGAGGGAGCTTGTGCAAGTAACATAGCAAGTAAGGCATTGAGCAACAATGCAGGAAGCACTGCAAGAGGGAGCTTGTGCAAGTAACATAGCAAGTAAGGCATTGAGCAACAATGCAGGAAGCACTAGACATGGCAAGAAAGAAAGCAGGAAATCTGCTAAACCTGAGGTATGGATATCTTACCTAATCCTGAGGTGAGGAGGTGGAAGATGTAGCTCGCATCTAGACAAGCGTATGGTGCATCTTGGCCGTTCATAAGCGGAAACTTTTTGGAGACTTCCTGCAGGGGAATGCCGCATGTCTCCTCTGCTATCCGAGCGAAGTGTTGAGCGGTGATGCGAGCTGCGGTGGGTGCTGCCGTGGTTTCTGCAGTGGAGTTGTTGCGAGGGATCAGCCCGAACTGCTCATGAAGGGGATGGCGACACAGATGCAAACCACAGGAGAAAACCAGTGAGATTGTGGCAAGACATCGTGGAGAAGATCCAAGTAACCGGGGGATAGGAGGGCGTTTAGGAGATAACAAAGTTCTAGGAGTACTATGGGGATATAAAACCGGAAAAGACCCAGAACCGCGTTTCTCCCATGAGAACCGAGTTTCACCCATGAGAACCGAGTTTCACCCATGAGAACCGCGTTTCCCCCGTAATAACCGCGTTTCCCCTATAAGAACCGTATTTTACACCATCAGAACCGCTTCTTACTCCAAGCCCACTTGCTGTGCCGCGGCCAAATGAAGGAGCCGTGGCAACGAGCTGCTCTGCCCCTCCTCCTCTGCCTACACTCTCCATACCATCCTCCATGCCAGAATCATTCCTGAAATCTCTCAAAAAGGAACACAAGTACAGCCCACCTGTTGCCCGGCGTAAAAAAGAGCCGACGAGGCGGCGAGCCGCACTGCGCCCTCTCCTCCTCTGCCTCCTCCGTGTGCGCCCCGCAGCCCATCCAGCACGCCTGGCAGCAAGCAGGCCCGCCCTTGCGGGCACACAGGTGCCGCAGACCTCGGCATGGGCTCAGACAACACATGGGCAGATGCCGGGTGGCTGTCAGCGCTGCCGGTGCTGCTGCTGCTGCTGCTGCTGCTGCTGCTGCTGCTGCTGCTTGCGCTGGTGGTGGTGGCTGGTGCTGCTGCCCGCTGTAGTGCTTGAAGGGTGAGGGAGGAACAGAGGGCTGCCTGCAACGAGGCAGCGGTGCCGTCGCTGCTGGGCTTGGATGTGCCTGGAGAGGGGTGGGTGGGTGGAAGGGGTGTGGGGCAGGGATAAGGTATTGGTACTGCTGGTGGTGCGGGTGGTGCTGGCAGAAGCAGCTGCTGCCGCCTGTTGCAGGGCGTGGAGGGTGGCCTAGGAGCAGAGGGTGGCCTAGGAGCAGAGGGTGGCCTAGGAGCAGAGGGTGGCCTAGGAGCAGAGGGTGGCCTAGGAGCAGAGGGTGGCCTAGGAGCAGAGGGTGGCCTAGGAGCAGAGGGTGGCCTAGGAGCAGAGGGTGGCCTAGGAGCAGAGGGTGGCCTAGGAGCAGAGGGGTGCATGCAAGGAAGCAGGGGTGCCATCGCTGCTGTGCTCTGATGTGCCTGGAGAGGGGTGAGTGGTTGACGTGTGGAGAAAAAGGGGGCACATGGGTTGGATAGAGTTTGAGTTAACTGAAAAAAACAATTGAATGTGCTTACGAAGGCATGCAAAAGGCATGCAAAAGGCATGCAAAAGGCATGCAAAAGGCATGCCCGAGCCAGGCATCCGAGTGGAGCCAAGAGGTAATCTTAGATTTCTTGGGCTCGTTCAGCATGCATGCATGGCTGTGCCACACCAAGAGTTCCACGCACAAACCTGAAGCTGCACAGAATCCTACCATGAGAGCCCACGTGGAAGCATGGCCATACCATGAGAGCCCACGTGGAAGCATGGCCATACCATGAGAGCCCACGTGGAAGCATGGCCATACCATGAGAGCCCACGTGGAAGCATGGCCATACCATGAGAGCCCACGTGGAAGCATGGCCATACCATGAGAGCCCACGTGGAAGCATGGCCATACCATGAGAGCCCACGTGGAAGCATGGCCATACCATGAGAGCCCACGTGGAAGCATGGCCATACCATGAGAGCCCACGTGGAAGCATGGCCATACCATGAGAGCCCACGTGGAAGCATGGCCATACCATGAGAGCCCACGTGCATGCATGGATGGTTCTGGGTGTCGTTAGTTGCTTTCAGCACCAGCGCTCTCCCTGCCATCCGCCCATAGCCCTGCATGCTGGTGCCGTGGTGGGATGCGGTGCAGAGGGATGGGGATGGAGAAGCAGACACCGATTGGAGGAGAGAGACGGGGAGAGGGATGTGCTAAGTGACTACTGAGGCGCCTCACAATTCAACGTGCCTAAAAAAGTGGTTATTTGGGCATGTAGCTAGCCGTATCCTGCATCCTGTGCACACGCAACGTCAACACACACCGCCTCTCTTTTCTTATCCCTCTCCCTCTCAGCCTGCTGCCCTGCACGCACAGGCTATCATGTTACCACACCCCCCTCTACTCTCCTCTCACCTGCGCACATAGACGTGGTGGGTGCTTCCCAAACCGCTCAGTCTCCTCACGTGTCCAGCTGGCACCTTATCCGCCACGTCAGCAGGAACAGCATATGCCACGTGGACGCTGGTATTCCCCAGGTCCAAGACTGCCACTGTTGACTCCAGGTGATTTTTCAGGTGCTTTCCCAGGTTTCCCAGGAGATGGTTAACAGCTGTCTGGATAACACGGGGAAGGGGGGAGACAGAAGCACTGCCTTGATAAGCACTGCCATCCATGCACCATGCCATCCATGCACCATGCCATCCATGCACCATGCCATCCATGCACCATGCCATCCATGCACCATGCCATCCATGCACCATGCCATCCATGCACCATGCCATCCATGCACCATGCCATCCATGCACCATGCCATCCATGCACCATGCCATCCATGCACCATGCATGCACCATGCCATCCATGCACCATGCCATCCATGCACCATGCCATCCATGCACCATGCCATCCATGCACCATGCCATCCATGCACCATGCCATCCATGCACCATGCCATCCATGCACCATGCCATCCATGCACCATGCCATCCATGCACCATGCCATCCATGCACCATGCCATCCATGCACCATGCCATCCATGCACCATGCCATCCATGCACCATGCCATCCATGCACCATGCCATCCATGCACCATGCCATCCATGCACCATGCCATCCATGCACCATGCCATCCATGCACCATGCCATCCATGCACCATGCCATCCATGCACCATGCCATCCATGCACCATGCCATCCATGCACCATGCCATCCATGCACCATGCCATCCATGCACCATGCCATCCATGCACCATGCCATCCATGCACCATGCCATCCATGCACCATGCCATCCATGCACCATGCCATCCATGCACCATGCCATCCATGCACCATGCCATCCATGCACCATGCCACCATGCCATCCATGCACCATGCCATCCATGCACCATGCCATCCATGCACCATGCCATCCATGCACCATGCCATCCATGCACCATGCCATCCATGCACCATGCCATCCATGCACCATGCCATCCATGCACCATGCCATCCATGCACCATGCCATCCATGCACCATGCCATCCATGCACCATGCCATCCATGCACCATGCCATCCATGCACCATGCCATCCATGCACCATGCCATCCATGCACCATGCCATCCATGCACCATGCCATCCATGCACCATGCCATCCATGCACCATGCCATCCATGCACCATGCCATCCATGCACCATGCCATCCATGCACCATGCCATCCATGCACCATGCCATCCATGCACCATGCCATCCATGCACCATGCCATCCATGCACCATGCCATCCATGCACCATGCCATCCATGCACCATGCCATCCATGCACCATGCCATCCATGCACCATGCCATCCATGCACCATGCCATCCATGCACCATGCCATCCATGCACCATGCCATCCATGCACCATGCCATCCATGCACCATGCCATCCATGCACCATGCCATCCATGCACCATGCCATCCATGCACCATGCCATCCATGCACCATGCCATCCATGCACCATGCCATCCATGCACCATGCCATCCATGCACCATGCCATCCATGCACCATGCCATCCATGCACCATGCCATCCATGCACCATGCCATCCATGCACCATGCCATCCATGCACCATGCCATCCATGCACCATGCCATCCATGCACCATGCCATCCATGCACCATGCCATCCATGCACCATGCCATCCATGCACCATGCCATCCATGCACCATGCCATCCATGCACCATGCCATCCATGCACCATGCCATCCATGCACCATGCCATCCATGCACCATGCCATCCATGCACCATGCCATCCATGCACCATGCCATCCATGCACCATGCCATCCATGCACCATGCCATCCATGCACCATGCCATCCATGCACCATGCCATCCATGCACCATGCCATCCATGCACCATGCCATCCATGCACCATGCCATCCATGCACCATGCCATCCATGCACCATGCCATCCATGCACCATGCCATCCATGCACCATGCCATCCATGCACCATGCCATCCATGCACCATGCCATCCATGCACCATGCCATCCATGCACCATGCCATCCATGCACCATGCCATCCATGCACCATGCCATCCATGCACCATGCCATCCATGCACCATGCCATCCATGCACCATGCCATCCATGCACCATGCCATCCATGCACCATGCCATCCATGCACCATGCCATCCATGCACCATGCCATCCATGCACCATGCCATCCATGCACCATGCCATCCATGCACCATGCCATCCATGCACCATGCCATCCATGCACCATGCCATCCATGCACCATGCCATCCATGCACCATGCCATCCATGCACCATGCCATCCATGCACCATGCCATCCATGCACCATGCCATCCATGCACCATGCCATCCATGCACCATGCCATCCCATCCATGCCATCCATGCACCATGCCATCCATGCACCATGCCATCCATGCACCATGCCATCCATGCACCATGCCATCCATGCACCATGCCATCCATGCACCATGCCATCCATGCACCATGCCATCCATGCACCATGCCATCCATGCACCATGCCATCCATGCACCATGCCATCCATGCACCATGCCATCCATGCACCATGCCATCCATGCACCATGCCATCCATGCACCATGCCATCCATGCACCATGCCATCCATGCACCATGCCATCCATGCACCATGCCATCCATGCACCATGCCATCCATGCACCATGCCATCCATGCACCATGCCATCCATGCACCATGCCATCCATGCACCATGCCATCCATGCACCATGCCATCCATGCACCATGCCATCCATGCACCATGCCATCCATGCACCATGCCATCCATGCACCATGCCATCCATGCACCATGCCATCCATGCACCATGCCATCCATGCACCATGCCATCCATGCACCATGCCATCCATGCACCATGCCATCCATGCACCATGCCATCCATGCACCATGCCATCCATGCACCATGCCATCCATGCACCATGCCATCCATGCACCATGCCATCCATGCACCATGCCATCCATGCACCATGCCATCCATGCACCATGCCATCCATGCACCATGCCATCCATGCACCATGCCATCCATGCACCATGCCATCCATCCACATGATCCTCAACGCAACATGGCAACAACCACCCCATCTCATCCACATGCCCTCTCTCTATCTGCTTTCCACATCGCCCTCACAGCCTTCCCCCATCTCTCCCCCTCCCTCACCCCCACTTCGCCCCACCCACCCAGGCAAAGAAGCCCTCGTCAGAGTCATCAAGGTGTGCTCTTATTTGAGCCAACTCAAAATACACCTTCCTCCTCCCCCCATCTCTCCCCCTGCCCCCCCTCCCACTCACCCCCTCCTCGCCCCACCCACCCAGGCAAAGAAGCCCTCATCACTGTCATCAAGCATGCTGACGTCACCATGGCTGAAGGGGAACGGGTACTCCGTCAGCATTTGGCGGATCTGGGGGGAGATGAGGGGGATGGGGAGGGGGAAGGCGGGGTAAGGCCGGGGTAAGGGGGAGGAGGGTTCAGGATGGTGAAGGGAGCAGGATTAGTTCATCCGAAAGTTGAAGAGAGAAATAAAGGTGGGAGGGAAAAATGGAACGCAGACAAGGAATCATTGCTGCATTCCATTTTTTCCGAAAATGGACCTACTTCTAGTCGTTATTCTATTCTTGTCTGCTCCATCAGGCACGCCCCGTAAACGCCGCAAGGGATGCTGTGCTGAACACTGAATACCACGCCCCATCCCCCACTAGTCTCGTTTCGCCCCACCTAACTCCTCCCTCCCCCACTCTCCGCCTGCCGAAGACTCCTAACCCAAAGCACAAAGCCCAAAGCCCAAAGCCCAAAGTTCAAAGCCCAATGCCCAAAGCCCAAAACCGAGAGCCCAAAGCCCAAAGCCCAAAGACCAAAGACCAATGCCCAGAGCCCAGAGCCTCACCTCTGCAAGGATCTTGTCTGCCTGGTCTCCTAACAGCTGCCCCTGCCCTCCAGCGGCCTGCCATGCATACAGTCACATGCATGTGATACAGTCACCATGCAAAAGATGTGAGAAATCTCATAAGTAACATCACCACGCATACGATCACCATGCGATACAGTCACGCAGACATAAGATCACCAAGCCAGTATAACCACAATAAATCACATCAATTATCTTGCAAAAACGGAAATCAGCTCTTAAAGGGCAGGTCTAGTGCATGCCTAACTGGGTGCAACCAGCAACGTGCCCTCACGAGAATCGGTACAAATATCAGCATACCCTGACAAGAACGGGGGAAACCAGCAGCGTACCCTGACAAGAACGGGTGTGACTGGTCGAGAGAACTCGGGCACGGCTTTAAGTGCCTTCTTCATTAACGGTCGCAAGCTGCCCGCTGCTGCTGTGACATTATCCCCATATGCAACCAGCCCAGGCTTCACCTGCCATGGCAACAACCAGTGTGTGAAGAGGGTATGAGGAGAGCATGGGAGTGGCTTTAAGTGCCTTCTTCATTAATGGTCGCAGACTGTTCGCTGCTGCTGTGACATTATCCCCGTATGGACCCAGCCCAGGCTTCACCTGCCATGGCAAGGCAACCAACAAAACAGCATCGACGGGACGGGATTTGAGTGCATTTGCGAGCAGAGCAGTATATGCGAGTTAAGAAAGGAAGGAAGGAAGTATTTGCGTTGCCAAGAAAGCCCTCTACAGTAAAGAACAACGGAAAACTATCAATAAAAACTCTCGGAAATTAAATCAGCATTCGTGGAAGTGAGAAGGAAGTAATTTTTATAAACAAGGAACAAGGAACTCACCGAATGCACCACTTCAAAACCTTTCTGAATCTCCCCCAGATCCATCCGCGAATCGAATCTGTACACGTGGACGCTGCTGCTCTCCGTGCTCACAGCATCAACAACAACAGCATACGTGTCCCCCCCGCCCTCCCCACCACCACCACCACTGGTGCCGCTTTCACCGCCCGCCACCATTTTAATCGCCGTCACCTTCCCCTTCTCGCGCATGGTTCTTATTCTTCCATCGCGTGACGAAGCCTCGCGATCCGACGCGCTTCCGCCATGGCCGGAGGACCTGCCGTGCGCGCCGATTAGGGGAGGGGAGCCGTTGTCGTTGTCGGAGGCGGGGGTGAGGACGAAGACGAAGAGGATTAGTGCCACGAGCGCCACCGGAATCGCCGCTACGAGCGCGACGCGACGCGATCGCACCACGCGCTCTCGCGCGGAATCCTGCCGTCGCGCCACGACCATTGACGGGTCTAATTGGAACAAGTGGGATTTTTTTTTAGGATGCTAAAAAACAAGCTAGTCACGGGCAGATTCGTTGAACGATAGCAGCTTCCCGCGTCATGTTGACAATGCGACGCGACAGCACTAGCATGGCCACTGGAGAATCTACTAACAACTGATGTCTGACGTAATGCCTAGGACGGATCCTGTAGAAATTCAAACGGCTGGCCTCAAGCGGGTTACAAAGCTCTAGTTCGTCAAGAAACAAAAAGACTTCGTGAGCGACCCTACGAAACGGGAAAATTTGCGGACAACCATGGTTTTCGTGATTTGAAACACGTGCTCAAGAAAATAATGTAAAACCGAAACCACGATACGTTCGGACCCGACGCTTCGTGGCGATCCGAATTGAACCTCATGGTCGAATTAGAGACAAAATACAGCCTCAATGCTGAGTACTCTCCCCATTGATATCCCAGACCCGATAACGGTATTACCAGTAGATGACAAAAAACATACACCAAGCACTTACTACCAGCACTCTTTATGAGCTGTAATAATCACCAGGTGGCTTGTAGCAAAGTTTGAAGGCTGAGCAAGATTCAATTGTACAAAACATATAACTTGGGGGTTGAATTACGATGCTATGCAAAAACCAAGTGCGTTGTGCCAACCAAACACGCTGTGGCATAAATTGCTTATGAAAGCAACACATTTCTTCCTCAAGACCCTCCTACGGTATCTAGAGCCAGCTCAGTAGGCGGAATTCACGGGCATGGCATGGCACGATGGGCTCTTAGCAGCACCTCGATCCCTCAACCCCCCTCCATTCTTCCGGAGCTTCTGTAGGCAACTCCCCTGTCGCACCGTATGCATCACAACTCCAAGAAATCTGCTTCCCTGCTGCACACCGCCATGCTCTCCCTTCCATTCCCCACAGCCCACCAGCCATGCCAACTCCATCCACCTCCCAATTTTTTAGTCGACTCAAAAGTCACCTCATTTTTGAATCAACTCAAAACTTTCCTCCTCAGGCTACATCTTCTCATCCTCCATCCACCTCCCCATTTTCTGATCCGTTCACTTCAAAAGTACGCTCCTCCTCACATTCCTGAAGCCCCACAAATGAACCTCCACCAAACTCACTGTACCCATCCACCTCCTCATACTCCGAAATAATCACAACCGCGCACGGCACATTGCTCCTCCAGTGGTGTGCCAGGTCAGAGCAACCGACGTGGTCAATCTTGCTATGAAACAGCTCAAAAAAGACTCTACCCATCCTCCTCCTCATCCTCCTCCTCATGCTCCGATATAATCACCACCGCGCACGGGGCGTTCTTGCTGCAGTGGTGTGCCAGCTCAGTGTGGCTGACGTGGCCAATCTTGGACAGCACCTTCTGGATCGTGTTCTGCTGAGCTGGCTCGTGCCTGGAGATGCCACGTGTCGTCGCCAGCACGAGCACGTCCGCTGAAATCATGTCGCAGAAATTGACAACCGCTGATGCCACCGACTTGGAATCCAGTAGAGCCACCTCGAAACGCACCTGAGGGGAGGTGGGAAGGAGCAAGAGTGGGAGTGAGTGTTAATTGGGCAACAAGAGCACGTCTCCTGAGATCATGTCGCAGAAGCTGACGACTGCGGAGGCCACTGACTTAGAGCCACCTTGAAATGCACCTGAGGGGGGCAGGAGAGAAGGGGGAGAGTTTTGAGACGTCTCAAACACTTCTTTATCACGTCTCGTAACGCACCTGAGGGGGCCAGGGGATGAGGGGGGAGAGCACAAGCACGTCAGCAGAGATCATGACTTTTGAGGCGCCTTAAAAAGGGAGAAGGGGGGAATATAAAGGCGCCTAAAAAAAGGGGGAGAGCACGAGCACGTCCGCTGAAATCATGTCGCAAAAAACTGACTACTGCAGAGGCCAGTGACTTGGACTTCAATAGAGCCACCTCGAAACGCACCTGAGGGGAGGTGGGAAGGGCAGGGCGGAGCAAGAGGGGCACTGTGTGCTGTGCTGTGCTGCTTGGGTCTGTGCCTGGAGTCTGGAGATGCCATGTGTGGTGGCCTGGCCAGCACCAGCACAAGCACAAGCACACAGGCTGAGATCACCCCCTCCCCTTTCCTCTCCCTCACCTTCTTTTCAAGAGACCATCCATGCTCTGATGAGACAGGACAGCGCCTCTTCAGCATCCATGCTTTTACCTCCCCCCCGATCCCGTCCATCCCCCCAATTCCCTCCCCTCACCTTCTTCTCGATAGAAACCCCCACAAGCCTCGACAGAGCCTGCTTGGCGTCCCCATCCCACTTGGGTCGTTTCAGCAGCACGGGCGCCGTGGCCTCACCAATCACCGCCGTGCCCGTCCCGATGGTCGACACGTTGCTTACTGACAGCCCGTGCCCGCCCTGATCGTGCCTTACCATACGCCCCCTGCCCTCGCCTACCATCCCTTGCTCCTACCCCTGGTTTCTCCCCCCCTCTCTCCCTCCCCTCACAGCCTCGCAACCCACCCCCTCCAAATCCCCCTCTCCCCTCACCTTTTTCTCAATGGACACTCCCACAAGGCGGGAGAGCGCTTGTTTAGCGTCGCCGTCCCACTTGAGTCGTTTCAGCAGCACGGGCGCCGTGGCCTCATCAATCACCGCTGTGCCCGTCCCGATGGTCGACACGTTGCTCACCGACGGCCCGTGCCCGCCGCCGCCCGCGCTGCCCGTGGCAGTCATGAGCTCTTTAAGCGCCTGCTCGCGGTCGCTGCCGTCCGTTTCCTCGCCGTCCTTTATGGAGTCTGGAGAAAGAAGGGGGGGGGGGGGGGGGGAGAGGAGGAGAGAGGAGGAGAGAGGAGGAGAGAGGAGGAGAGAGGAGAGAGGAGGAGGTTAGTAGTCAGGGGGCAATGGGAATGGGAAAGAATGGCAGTCCGTGTCCTCCCCGCCCTTTATGAAGCCTGGACTGGATGGGGGGAGAAAGAGTGACGGGGAAAGGGAGAGGGAAGGGAATGTGGGGAACGAGGGGGTGGGAAGGGGCGCTGAAAGGGCTGCACCCTTATGGTTTTGAGACGTCTCAAAACTATATTACTATGGCTGAAGGGGCGCTGAAAGGGCTGCTCCCTTTTGGTTTTGAGACGTCTCAAAACTAGATTACTATGGCTGAAGGGGCGCTGAAAGGGCTGCTCCCTTTTGGTTTTGAGACGTCTCAAAACTAGATTACTATGGCTGAAGGGGCGCTGAAAGGGCTGCTCCCTTTTGCTCCTTGAGCGCCTGCTCCCTATCGCTGCCGTCCGTGTCCTCCCCGTCGCGCAAAGGGGGAGAAGAGAGGGGGTTGGTAAGGGGAAGAGGGGATGGGAGAGGGGGTTGATTGGTTTGCTCACGGTCGCTGCCGTCCTTGTCTTCCCCGTCCTTGTCTTCCCCGTCCTTGTCTTCCCCGTCCTTGTCTTCCCCGTCCTTGTCTTCCCCGTCCTTGTCTTCCCCGTCCTTGTCTTCCCCGTCCTTGTCTTCCCCGTCCTTGTCTTCCCCGTCCTTGTCTTCCCCGTCCTTGTCTTCCCCGTCCTTGTCTTCCCCGTCCTTGTCTTCCCCGTCCTTGTCTTCCCCGTCCTTGTCTTCCCCGTCCTTGTCTTCCCCGTCCTTGTCTTCCCCGTCCTTGTCTTCCCCGTCCTTGTCTTCCCCGTCCTTGTCTTCCCCGTCCTTGTCTTCCCCGTCCTTGTCTTCCCCGTCCTTGTCTTCCCCGTCCTTGTCTTCCCCGTCCTTGTCTTCCCCGTCCTTGTCTTCCCCGTCCTTGTCTTCCCCGTCCTTGTCTTCCCCGTCCTTGTCTTCCCCGTCCTTGTCTTCCCCGTCCTTGTCTTCCCCGTCCTTGTCTTCCCCGTCCTTGTCTTCCCTGTCCTTGTCTTCCCCGTCCTTGTCTTCCCCGTCCTTTATGGAGTCTGCAAAAGGGGGGGGGAGGAGATGGAGTTGGATGTAGGTGGTCAGGGGGTTAGGCGGATGGGAGGGATTGCGGTGCCCGCGGCCGCTGCCGTCCGTGTCCTCCCCGTCCTTTATGGAGTCTGGCCGAAGAGGGAGAGGAGAAGGTGGAGGAGGCGGGAGTGGGTGAAAGAGAATGCGGTTAATGATGGCAAGGGAACGGGGTCGATTGGAATGGGCTGGGGGAATGACTGGGCTGCTCGCGGTGGCTGATATCCATGTCAGGTCAGGCCCTCTACGCCCCTTACATGGAGTCTATGGGATGTGATTGAAGTAGTGTTTTGAGACGTAGAGGACCTGATGGAGTCTCAAAACACTACTTCAGTCAGGCCCTCTACGCCCCTTACATGGAGTCTATGGCGACTTGACGGGGGAGAGCAGGGAGGAAGAGAGGTGCGCGATGGGGGAGTGGAGGGGGGAGGGAGGGGGGAGGGGTGGGTTTGGGGGAGGAAGGGGGGATGAAAAGGGGAGGCAAATGGGGGTATTGGGAATGGGGGCTAGGTCAAGTTTGTGGCAACAGGGGTTGGAGGGGAGGCGGGGAGAAGGGGAGGGGAGGTGAGGGTGAACGGTGGTGGGAGCGCGGGGCATTTGCAATAGCTTAGAAACGGCAGTCGTTGGGCTGTTGAGTGCACCTCAGGTGTGGGCTGTGAGGGAACTTGAACGCTTGCCGGCTGGATGAAATCCAGGAAAGGAAAGTCGACCCTCCCTACCAATACATGTGAATAATTCATCCTAGGTTTGGGTATGGAGGGCAGATGGTGAGGGAGGGGCAAGCATGGGGAATGGAGGAGGAAGGAATGGGTGAGGGAGGAGTGAGGAAGAAGAAGTGAGGGAGTGAGGAGGGGAGAGAGAATAGTGAGGGGGGGAGAGAATAGTGAGGGGGAGCGAGTAAAGGGAGAAACGGAAGGGCCTGGCTTGCCTGCTCGGGGGACGCGGAGCGCGGACCGCCATGACGTGCGGTTGTGATAGAGAGCCACGATCAAACGGTCGTCGTGCTTCCGCATCCGCTCCTCCACGAAATCGCGCAGCGCGTCGATGCACATCTCGCAGCCGTCCATCGCCGCGACAATCGTACGGCCCTGATTGACGCTGAAGATGGTCGGCAGCCGATGCTTGGCCATCATCTTGGCTCGCGATACGAACCGCAACCGCGTGGGTCCCCTTGAAACGCCTCAAAAGGCCTTTTAACCGACTCTTATTTCAAAGCCTCTATCGCAACCGTGCGGGTCCCCCAGATATATCCAATCTCCACAAACGCCTATTAAGTACTGTGATTGCGCGGAAACCTACTATTGTCTTCGAGGCTAAAGAAGACGACTCGAGGCTAGCCCAGTTGCCGCCAGGCAGCCATGGCTGGTCCTGGGCGGCACGCAGGCATGGCGATCGGCCCGAATGTCACCCGAATGTCGCCTCCCAAAGACACTGAAAACAGCGAAAGGCCTGACCGCGGCTTCCACCGTCTGCTGCCGTCTTCCGGTAAAAGCGCAATGCGGCTTCTGTCGTCCGCCCGCGCAATGCGCAATGCGGAAACGTTGGCGGAAATTGGGAGAGGCTGGCGTTACTAGCGAGGTATCAGCAAGCGAGCACGCATTAGTACTTTGACCTGTTTACTAGCGGCAAGGTGACACGAGAGCGGTGGTACCCATGATACGCATTGGGAGATTTTGGAGCGCACAGTGTTCCAGCAGAGTTCGCTTCGCCTTGCACGCCCTGGGGTGGGGGAGGGCGCTCGAGCTAGGTCATAATGCCGGCTTGAACCTTGCCTTGCTAGCAAGGAACTGATATTTTCTCTCCTTTCCTAATCGGTAGCAGTGGCGTTGAAGCAGGGAAAGAAGCGCGAATACGCAGTTAAGTGGCGCGATTATTCGACTGCAGTGACGTAATGTTTTTGGCTCTGCGTTGCGGAGGAAAATAGGCGCTGAAGTTGGTGTGGCCATAAGGAAGGACTGGCAGAGATTAGTTGTTGAAATTGCTCGATATAAGAGTGACGAGGAACAAATGCGGTACAGCGAGGATTGTACGTGTAGATGAAGCGTGTAAATTGTACTCTTTGCGAGAAGTTTGTCTCTTTCATGAACCAATATGACATTTCCAATGGGTGAGACTAAAAACAATATATTATGCTTATAATCTTACCCGGGATCTCAGATGGATTCATAAATAGACGAGTAGGGCGTACCAACAATCTGCAAACAGAACGTAACAGAGCACAATAACAAATCGTAAACATTGCAGATTAGAGATCGCATATGGTTTCTTCTATAGAGGAGATCTCATTAGCAGATACTTTTCCTCCCAGAAGTTGCAGATTCTTCACAAGTGCCTTCCTCCGCTTGCTTGCATGCTCCATCCCCTTCACCACAAAATCAGCCGACGAATTTGACACGCTACTCCTGTCTGGACTCTTTTTTCCAGCTGTGATTGAATCCACCCAACTCCTAGTCATCTGACACGAAAGGCGCATCGCTGCAGCTCGGTCGGAGGTTTCAACCCAGACTAAGGCGCGGACTTGCGCCGCACTGTAGTCTTATTACTCAGTTCCGATCCATAATCCGCACGGTGAGCCTACAGGATCACGACGCGCCACTTTTCCATGGCGGCAGTCCCGGCAGGCCCGGTAGGGGCGCTGCCGTGGATGCGCGTTGCCTGCCCCGCGGCCGACCCTTCTAGCGCCGCTCCAACGGTCTCTTCCCCGCAACGCCTCGGATTCCGGCCAGTCGCGAGCGCGCAACGCGCAAGCACCGCGCGCGTCACCTGCGATAGATGTGCCCGCGTGTCGAGGTCTGGCCCTGGCGCACTCACGCCCTTGCGCCCGTCGCTCGCTCCTCTCTCGCTCGCGCCTGTCTCGCTCGTTCCTCACTCGTTCGCTCATCGCGCCCTGCCGCCGCCTCGCAGAATCCTCGCGCGTCGCCTCGCCTCTTCCGATCTGCGCAGGCAGGTCCTTCCGCCGCTTCCCCAGCTGCTCTCGCCAACCACAACCGCAGGGCGCAGACGAGTGGGTTTCGTTATTCGCAGCAGTGCCAGTAACGGGGATGCATCGGCCAGTTCCATCTGCTCGTCAGAGACGTCCGAAAAGCCAACGCTTTTAGCGAGTCCCGACTCTGTATCGGGGAGCGAAGGCTTATGGAGTGAAGGAGAAACTGTGTCTTTGAGTAGATCGGCCAACGGGAATGCTCATACGCTTATAGAAAATGCGGCGCTTGAGAATACGAGTTCAGAGAATGCGGCAGTAGAGATTACAATTTCGAAGAATACGACTTTAAGGTCTCGCACGTGGCACAGCGCGAGCCCGAATAGCGAGAGCGCCCGGAACCGTGCTTCTGAATCAGCGCAGACGCGGTCAGCGCAACTGCAGGCGCGGCCGCCGCAGCCCCTCCCACTGTTGGGGCGACCAACGCAGCCAGCGCAACAAGAGCAGGTGCAGGCGCAGCGGCAGGATCAGGGGCAGGGGCAGGGGCAACCAGCGCAGCGGCAGTGGCAGCGGCAGGGGCAGGTTCAGCGACAGGGGCAGGGGCAGGATGTGGAAACGCGGGGTCGTTATTCCCCGCGGCGGAGAGGTGGGCCGGATGGCCGTACGCGTTATTGGAGCTGGCGAGAGGTTGTATCGGAGTGGGCGGCGCTGGAAATGCAGAAGAAGCTACTTCTGACTATGCAGCGGCGAGCTAAGCCAGGGGACAGGGTTTTGGTGAAGAGGGTTTTAGAACGTAGGGGTTTAGACAATAGGGATTCGGGAAACGAAGGAAGAGGACGTGGAGCGGAAGGAGGAGGATTGGCAGGCAGACACGGGGCGAATGCTGCTGGTGCTGGTGGCGAGTGGGATGGGGAAGGGAGGAGGAGGAGAGAAGCGAGAAGCAATGGGGAAAGTGGTGAAGTGAGCGAGGACGAGAGGGAAGAAGAGGGAGAGGAGGATAGGGGGGAGGAGAGCAGGGAGGATGAGAGTGGGGAGAGGAATGTGAGGGAGCAAGCGGGAACATGGAAGGGGTGGAAGAGGTGGGAGGACAAGAGGCAGCGGCGCGACAGGGAGGGGCGGAATGAGAAGAGTGGTGACTGGCAAACGGAGGTGGAGGAGGACGAGGAGAGGTGGGAGGAGAAACGAAGAGGGGAGACAGGTGGTGCTGTCAGAGGTGGAGAGCGGGGTGAGGGAGACGCGGAGGGATTTTCTGTCCAGGTGGCTGCTCAGGTGGCGGCCCAGGTGATTGCAGCAGAAAGGAGTGGGGAGGGGCGGAGCGTGGAGGAGATTGTGGATGGGTGGAGGGGCAACCGTTACCACATGACGGAACTGGTGAGTGCCACGTGGCAGGATTCTTGTGTAACCCTCAATCTAAAACCCCAGAGCTTCAACACCAAACCCCAAATCTCGAATTCCAAAACCCCAAACTTAAACCTTCCGTCGCTCCTTGTGGCAGGCTCTGATTGGATGCTTCTGCACCCTGCTGCCACCGCCACTCTTCATACTACCCCTCCACCTCTTGCCCACCCTCCCACCTCATCCACCCCTCCTCACCGCGTACCACCGCACTCGGCAGATTGTGGAGCTGTGGGTGCAGCACGCCCCTGCGCTCTCCCTCAGGGTGTTTGATTGGATGCGCCAGCAGCCCTGGTGCCACCTCCCCCACCGCATCCCACCCCTCCTCATCTGAATTCTCCTTGTTTACATCACATGGCAGATATTGGAGCTCTGGATGCAGCACGCACCCTCTCTCTCCCTCAGGGTCTTTGATTGGATGCGCCAGCAGCCGTGGTGCCGCCCGCGCCTCGACTCCTACAGCCTCGCGGTTCAGATTGCCGCCCACTCCCGCATTTGGGGACGAAGCGAGGCGCTGTTCGAGGAGATGCAGGCGGACGGCGTGCGGCCGGACTCGTTTGTCTTTTCTGTGATGGTGCGCGTGCTGGCGCAGCAGGGGCGGTGGGAGGATGCGATTGGATTGGTGGAGAGGCGGGCGGCAGCAGTCGACCCGGAGCTCATGTCATTAGTGAAGTGAGTGAGGTGATTTGTCGAGTGGTCAAGAAAGCCTGCTTGCTGATTGGTCCACGTGGCATGTGGTTGTTGTCAAGATTGAAGATTCAGCATTTCACTCTGTCGTTGTTCTTCACGTAAGATTTATTTTTAGTATGAGATTGCATTCGCCAATGAGAATTGAGTGTAGCATGTCTCCTCTCCACTCTCCTACTTTCTCATCCATATCTCTGTCCTACCCATCTCCCAGGGTACTCCTTCACGACATGGCATGCTCGCCACACGCCGCCTCCCTCACAGCCGCCCTCCTCTCCTCTCTCTCCTCACTCCCCTCCTCCTCTCCCTCCCCCTCCGCCTCCTCCCGTCCCCTTTCCCCAACCCCTTTCTCTCTTGACCAAGAGTCATACCGACTCCTCCTCCGCTCCTTCTACTCCCACAACCACCTGCCTCTCATCCCACCAACCGTAGCCAGCATGATTCAAGCAGGCTATCTCCTCAGCCAATGGGATGCCGCCATGTGGCTCGAGGCCCTCGCTGCCCAGGGCGACGTTGCAGGGATCCGGGCAGCTGTTGGGGAAATTCTGGCGCTCGGGCTGCCCGAGCCGGAAAGTTTTCGGATGGCCATGGTTTTGGGATTTGCAAGAGCGGGGGAGATGGACCGAGCTTGGAGCTTGTTTGTAGGGGGGGAGGAGAGTGAGGGAGTGAGTGAGGGGGTGCAAGAGGGAGTGGCGAGCCAGGTTTCCCAGAAGCCACCTAAGAGGGGTGTGGAGCCGAGTCTGTATGTGATGGTGGTGGAGGCGATGGTGGGGGCGGGACGCATGGAACAGGCAGAGGCGGTGTGTGCGGAGTATGGGCGGGCGCACTTGGTCGCTGTGCAGAGGTTCAAATACGGGGTGAGTGGACGCTAGTATGCAAGCAGCACATCAGCAAGCACCACGTCAGCAAGCAGCACGTCAGCAAGCACCACGTCAGCAAGCACCACGTCAGCAAGCACCACGTCAGCAAGCACCACGTCAGCAAGCACCACGTCAGCAAGGACCACGTCAGCAAGCAGCACGTCAGCAAGCACCACGTCAGCAAGCACCACGTCAGCAAGCAGCACCTGAGCTAACCTAAGCTCAGTGGTCACCTGCCGTGCCACATTGCCCTGCATCACCCTCTGCTCGTCCCTGTCTTTCTCCCTCAGCCTTCCCTCCCTCATCATCCGCCCTCCTCCCTCCCCTCTCCTCCCTCCTCCTCCTTCCGCTCTTCCTCTTAGCCTTTTCCATTCTTGAAAAGCCCGTCCCTCTTTTCTTTGCCCCCTGTCCTTCCCCACCTGCCACCCCGCCTCCCCATCAGCGCCCCTACACTGTACTCCTGTCCGCCTACCTCCTGTCCGGCGATCTCTCGTCCTTTTCCCGCGTATGGACAGCAATGAGGGCGGGCGGCCGCCCGGTAGACAGTTACGTCCTTCGTCTGCTAGCCAAGGCCTGCGCGTCTGTGGGCGGGCTCAAGGGGCTGGCAGTGATGCTGTGGGCGGCAAGAGAGGGGCGGGAGAGGGAGGTGGGAGGGAGTGAGGGAGGGAGTGTGGGAGGGAGTGAGGAAGTGGATGGTCAAACGTGGGATGCTGCCGGGGCGAGAGGTGGAGCAAGTGAAGCAGTGCCAGAAGACAGTGTGACAGATGAAGCTGGTGCAACCAGTGCATCAGGTGCATCAGGTGCATCAGGTGCATCAGGTGCATCAGGTGCATCTGCAACAGCTACGTTGGTGGAGGTGGCAGAGTTGGCAGCAGGAGCTATGGTGGTAGAGGCATCCCCGGAAGAGGTAGAGGCAGCCGAGAGGCAGTTCCCAGTTCTCGCGGCCGAGCTGAGGGGTAGCGACAAGGCGCTCAGGGTAGTCGTCAGGTACCTGTTCAAGGATGCTAACGTGGCGGGTGGGGATGAAGCCGTGCCTGCTGACGTGGCGGCTGGAGATGATGTCGTGCCTGCTGACGTGGCAGCGAGTGGGGAGAAGGGGGGAGGTGACGTGGAGGAGGGTGGCGGGCACGGGGTTGCTGCGGTGAGAAGCGGATGGTCTGAAGAGCGTGTGGGTGTGCCAGCAGCAGCAGAGGAGCGTGTGGGTGTGCCGGCAGCAGGGCAGCAGCATGTGGGTGGTGGAAGGGGCGACGAGGCGTCAGAGGAAGATCATGTGGGCGAGGCTGGGCGGGACGTACTGGGGCACTCAGTGTGCGCGAGTGATGGGATGGTGGAGGGGGTGGAGGGAGCACAGAGAGAGGAGAAGGAGAGGGGACAAGAGGGGGATGCGGGAGAAGAGGGTGAAGGAATCAGGGAGGGAGAGGAAGGAGGAGCAGCAGAGGCGAAGGGAGAGTTAGAGAGAGGGCAGCGAGGCAGAGGAGGGCAGGAGGGGGAGGAGCGGATACCTTTGGGGGCTCAAGTGGTGGAAGTAAGGGGCGGTGCAGGGGCGGGAGGGGAGGGAGTGGAGGGAGTGGAGGGAGTGGAGGGAGTGGAGGGAGTGGAGGGAGTGGAGGGAGTGGAGGGAGTGGGAATGCCAGTGGCGGCAACAGCAGGGGACGGGACAGGGGCTGCAGCAGTGGCAGTGGCAGAAGCAGCAGGGGAAGGAGCGACAGACGATGTAGCAGTGGTGGCAGCAGTGGTGGTAGCAGGGGTGGCAGCAGGGGTGGCAGCAGGGGTGGCAGCAGGGGTGGCAGCAGGGGTGGCAGCAGTAGAAGATGATAGGGAGAGAAGAGAGATGGAAAGGACGGGAGGGGAAGGCGAGGGGTCAGTAGTGAGGAATGGAGGGGAGAGCGGAGGAGTTTCAAGTGGTGCTAATGGTAGCAACAGTGGCAGCAGCAGCAGCAGCAGCAGCAGCAGCAGTGAGAGCTTGGCAGAGCGAAGGCTGGCGATGGGATGGGTTGGGGGAAGGCGTGGGGAGGGCAGAGGGGGTAGAGAGGGAGGGAGGGGGAAGAGTGTGGATGGATCCAAGCTGAGAAGGCCAGTTGTGGGCGGCAAAGCGGATTCTGGTACAGTGCAGCACGGTGGCAGTGGGAGGGATGAGAGCCAACTAGGTGTAGTGCAGCAGGCTGTAGCAGAGGCGGCTGTAACAGAGGCGGCTGTAGCAGAGACGGCTGTAGCAGAGACGGCTGTAGCAGAGATGGCTGTAGCAGAAACGGCAGTAGCAGAGCGGGCTGTAGCAGAGCGGGATGTAGCAGAGACGGCCGTAGCAGAGCGGGCTGTAGCAGAGACAGCTGTAGCAGAGACAGCTGTAGCCGAGCGGGCTGTAGAGGCAGCTGTAGCAGAGACATCACGAGAGGGGGATTTACCTGAGGAGATGGTAGCGCAAGCGGGTGGGGGAGAGGCAGAGGTGGTGCACGGCGCTTCAACGAATGTGACTTCACCAGAGGCTGTGGGGATTGAGGCTGCTGCAGCTGCAGGGAGTGATGCTGCACCTGTGGGGATGGTAGAGCATGTGGTTGGGGGAGAGACAGCGGTGGTGGATGATGCTACAACGAATGTGACTTCACCAGAGGCTGTGGGGATTGAGGCTGCTGCAGCTGCAGGGAGTGATGCTGCACCTGTGGGGATGGTAGAGCATGTGGTTGGGGGAGAGACAGCGGTGGTGGATGATGCTACAACGAATGTGACTTCACCAGAGGCTGTGGGGATTGAGGCTGCTGCAGCTGCAGGGAGTGATGCTGCACCTGTGGGGATGGTAGAGCATGTGGTTGGGGGAGAGACAGCGGTGGTGGATGATGCTACAACGAATGTGACTTCACCAGAGGCTGTGGGGATTGAGGCTGCTGCAGCTGCAGGGAGTGATGCTGCACCTGTGGGGATGGTAGAGCATGTGGTTGGGGGAGAGACAGCGGTGGTGGATGATGCTACAACGAATGTGACTTCACCAGAGGCTGTGGGGATTGAGGCTGCTGCAGCTGCAGGGAGTGATGCTGCACCTGTGGGGATGGTAGAGCATGTGGTTGGGGGAGAGACAGCGGTGGTGGATGATGCTACAACGAATGTGACTTCACCAGAGGCTGTGGGGATTGAGGCTGCTGCAGCTGCAGGGAGTGATGCTGCACCTGTGGGGATGGTAGAGCATGTGGTTGGGGGAGAGACAGCGGTGGTGGATGATGCTACAACGAATGTGACTTCACCAGAGGCTGTGGGGATTGAGGCTGCTGCAGCTGCAGGGAGTGATGCTGCACCTGTGGGGATGGTAGAGCATGTGGTTGGGGGAGAGACAGCGGTGGTGGATGATGCTACAACGAATGTGACTTCACCAGAGGTGGTGTGGAAGAGGGCGTCCCCTTGCCTGCGCTTCCCCCCTCCCCTCCCATCAGGCGGATCCCTCATCCCTCCTTGCGCTCTTGTTTTCTCAAACCCTGTGCTCCCCCCCCCTCCCCCCATCAGGCGGATCCCGCCGCCCCTCCGCCCCCTCCGGCTGCATGGGGGCGTGTTCTCTCTGCCCTGCGCGACCCCGGGCAGTACGGGCAGCTGAAAGAAGTTTACCGGATGATGCTAAGCGCTTTGGAGCGGGAGGGGACTCAAGTGCGCTGGCATCAAGGGCAGGAGGGACAGGAGGAGGTTCAAATGCGCAGGCAGCAGGGGCAAGACGGGCAGGAGGAGCTGAGATGGGGGCAGCAGGGGCGGGAGGAGATGCAAGAGGGGCGGGAGGAGATGCAAGAGGGGCGGGTGGAGATGCAAGAGGGGCGGGTGGAGATGCAAGAGGGGCGGGTGGAGATGCAAGAGGGGCGGAGCATGAGTTGTTCTGCTGGTACTGAAGATGGGGGGGTTGACAGTAGAAGTGACACTAGAGAGGGTGACAGTAGAGGGAGGGGCAGGGGTAGAATTGACAGCAGCGGCAGTGATAGTAACGAGAGTGATAGTAATGAGAGTGTTACAGTCTTTACAGGAGGGTATGTGCTTCCATTCAATCTGGTGCTGATGTCAGCATGCAGGCGGGGAGCAGCTGATGACGTAGCAGCTGTTTTTGGTGACATGCTCAGTCATAACGTCATCCCGTCATGGGTATGTGATAGGCATTATGGGTATGTGATAGGCATTATGGGTATGTGATAGGCATCATGGGTATGTGATAGGCATCATGGGTATGTGATAGGCATCATGGGTATGTGATAGGCATTATGGGTATGTGATAGGCATCATGGGTATGTGATAGGCATCATGGGTATGTGATAGGCATCATGGGTATGTGATAGGCAACTCTACTTCACTGATCCCAAACCCAATGCCTCTGTGCCTGCCAGCCACCCGCTTCCCCCTAAAACTGCCAACCTTCTTGGTGCACCCTCTCCCCCCACTCCTCCTCAACCTCCCCCCCCCACGCCCCCACTCCCTCTCTGCCCTCTTCTCCCTCCCGAGCTCCCTTTACAGAGATCTCTACTCTTCGTGCTGAAGGGTGCATGTGGCCCCAACCAGCCGTTCCCCTCCCCCACGTCGCTCGTTGCCTTTGTTGCCTCTAAGGCCACTCAGCTGCCACCAGAGCCACACGCGTCTGATGAACCCGCGACAGCTGCCGCGGTTACATCTGATGCAGTTACGTCGGACAGGGTTACGTCTGCGGCGGCCCCGTGTGCCAGCTCAGCGTCGTCCGCGCATGACAGGTCAGCATCATCCACGCATGCCAGGTCAGCGTTATCCACGCATGCCAGGTCAGCGTCATCCGCGCGTGCTCGGGAGGTTCTGGAGAATATGGCAGTGCTGCTGATCGGAGAGCCGTGGGCCGTTGATCGGCTGAGATGGAGCGTGGAGATCGCAGAGTGCATCCAGAGGGCTCAGGGCAGCAGCCCCCTCCTTCTGCCCTCTCCTCTGGCACGACGATTCTTCTTTGCCTCTAGGAGCCTGCGGTTGGTTGGTAGGGAGAGGGACGAGGAGGGGGGTGATGAGGTGAGGGGAGACGCAGAGAAGCGGGATGAATTGAGGGGTGGAATGGAAGGGGAAGAAGAACAGGAGTGTGCAGGGAAGGGGAAAGAGGAGGAGGAAGGGGAGAATGGGTATGAAGGGAGAGGGGTAGGAGAAGAGGGGGAGCAGATTGAGCGTGGAGGAGAAGTGGGATTGGGTGGGAGTGATGCTGGTGTTGGTGCTTCAAAACGAACGCAGCTGTTGATTGGGGTGGTTCGGCCGGACGAGAGACGCGAGGAGGAGAAGTGGGAGGGAGGCTCGGTGGCCGTGCTAGGCTCGGCAGAGGCTCGGGAGGAGCTGGCCGATCGGATGGAAGCACTTTTAGAGGCCAGCACTGCTGCCCGGCAGGCTGCCTGGGAAGAAAAAACTGCCCGGCGGGCAGTTGAGCAGGCAGAGTGGGCAGAAAAACAGTTGAGTGTGAATGCAGAGTGGAGGGAGGCGAGGGAGAGGGAGAGGGGGGTGGCAGTGGAAAGGTGGGTGAAGGGGAGAGGTAGGGTGAAGAGTGTTAATGAGGCGTGGACTCAAGTGGTGGAGCGAGAGAGAGGGATCAAAGGAGGGGTTGACGGGGGAAGGGAGAGGGGGTTGGAAGGTGGGGATGAAAGGGGAGAAGAGAAGGCGATGATGGTGGGTGATGGGGGGTTTGATACGGTGAAGGGGATGATAGTGGGTGATGGGGGGTTTGAGAAGCGCATGTTGGAGAGGCAAGGGGAGGGGCGGGAAGGAGGAGGGGTGGGTGGAAAGAGAAGGGGAGATAGTGAGGAAAAGGAGGTGGAGGAGGAGGAAGGGGAAGAGGAGAAGGAGGGAGGCGCTCGGGAGGATAGGGGTGGTGTGGGGGCAACAGGCATGGGGGAGCGGAGGGAGCAGAGGAAACAGAGGGAACAAGAGGAGGAGAGGGAGGAGAGGGAGGAGAGGGAGGAGAAAGAAGCATGTGCAGTGGGGGTGGCGGAGCAGGTCAGGATGGTTGAGGTGCGACTGGTGAGTAACTCGACTTATGTGAGGGCCGTCGCTGAAGTGCTGTGGTATGGTGCGGTGGGGTGTGGCTCAGGGGGGTGGGGTGTGGTGTGGTGTGGTGCAGTGTGGCCTGGTGTCACGGGGTGTGGTTTGGTGTGGTATGTTCTGGTCTTGTGTCATGTCGTGTCGTGCCATCTTGTCTCGTGTTGTGTGACTTCATGTCATCCTGCCTTCCTCTTCTTGCGTACCCTTTTCCTCCCAGCCGTCGTGTATGAAGAAGTGTTTTGACTTGAAAAAACGCTTCTCAAAACACTTCTTCATCTTGTCTCGTGTTGTGTGACTTCATGTCATCCTCCCCTTCCCGTCCTTGCTTACCCTTTTCCTCCCCGCCGTCGCTCCCTACCCTTTCTCCCTGCCCTTCTCCCCACCAGTCGCACAGCATCCTCCCAGACCCAGCCTCTTGTGAGTCTCTCCTCTCAGCCCTTCGCATCGCCTCAACGCACCACCCTCAACGCCAACCCTCGCCCGACCCGTCCCCACTTCCTCCTCCTCCTCCGTCCTCCTCCTCCTCAGCGCACTCTCCTTCGACCCCGGCTCCCATCGCTTCCTCCGCAGTCCCTCAAGAGACGTCACTCCAAGTAACCACAACTCCCCCCCTGCCCACGGCGACTTTTCAGGCGCCTCAAACTTCGAACCTTGCTCCCATCACTTCCTCCGCAGTCCCTCAAGAGACATCACCCCCAGTAGCCACAACTCCCCCCCTGCCCACGGCACGGGCCATGCTGTGGCGCCTGGCGGGTGCTGGTGCTGCACTGTCCGCTGCTGCCTTCAACGAGGCCATTCGAGAGGCTGCTGAGTGCTGCGAGAGGGGCGATGAGGGGAGCGAGTCCGAAATGCCTTCAGCAGCAGCACCACCATCAGCACCATCAGCAGCAGCAGCAGCGATGGTGGAGGAGGTGGAGGGGCTTCTGCTTGAGATGCATCGACGGGGCGAGCTGCCGAACCAGGTGCGTGTGTGTTCATTTGTGGGTGTGTGTTGATGAGGTGAGTGACAAACAGCAGCAGCAGCATGTAGAGCAGCAGCAGCAGCAGCAGGAGCAGCAGCGATGGTGGAGGAGGTGCAAGGGCTGCTGCTTGAAATGCATCAACGGGGCGAGCTGCCAAACGAGGTGAGTGCGTGAGCACCCAGTGGAAGGTGTCTGCGTATCTTGAGACATGTTCCAGCGAGCAGCAGCGAAGGAGAATGTTTAGCAAATGAAAGACCGTTGTTGTAAAGAAATATAGCTAATTCGCGTAGGGTTCTGTTTAAACGGAGCTCTTCACTAAGCAGTGGTTAAAACACAGACACCAAACGAGGTCCCAGAGGTGTGTGTCTGCGTGCGCGCATTGCTCAATCACACAGCTGTCGAAATGCCCATGCACTCACCACAGTCCCGTTCCTCCTTCCACAATCACACCCTCCCCATCTCTTTCCCCTCCTCCTCTCCCCCTTCCCCTTCCTCGCTCACTCCCTTCCCTGTTAGATTATACTACTCTTCTGTATCCTGCATTGATCCTATAAACCCTAGGACAGAGATAGGCACCCAAACTATGTTTGGGTGCACAACTAGGGTTAACCCTAGTTGGGGTTTGGAACCCAACCTTGGTCCAATTATTGGCCCCCAAGGTTGAGTTGAGAGATTATTGGCCCCCCCCAATAATGTTGGCTCACTTTTGGCCAACATTATTGGGACCCCCCAATAATTCTCCAACCTAACTTATTGGTGGGGGGCCAATAATGATGACTAGGTACCCAACCAACCCCCCTCCCTTAGCTTCAACTATGTAAGCCCGTATGATTCCTAATTAACTCAATGGTTCAATTCTAACATGGTTATCAGAGCTCTTACGGCCAACGCCGCTCAAGATCCTAGGACCCCTCGTGCTACATAGCGCACCTCTCGCCGGCTCTGCCGCGCCTCTCGCGCCACTTAGCGCGCCTCACGCGCCACTTAGCGCGCCTCACGCGCCACTTAGCGCGCCTCACACGCCACTTAGCGCGCCTCACGCGCCACTTAGCGCACCTCTCCCCGGCTCTGCCGCACCTCTTGCGCCACTTAGCGCACCTCTCCCCGGCTCTGCCGCGCCTCTCGCGCAACTTAGCGCACTTCCGCCGGCTCTGCCGTGCCCCTCGCGCCATCTCGGCGCTCCCCCCCTCCCCTCGACCGTCCGCCGCGACGAACGCGACCGTCAGCCGCGGACGCGACGAACGCGACCGTCAGCCGCGGACGCGACGAACGCGACCGTCAGCCGCGGACGCGACGACCGCGACCGACAACCGCGGACGCGACGTCCGCGCCGACGACGAGGGCGGACGCGACGTCCGCGCCGACGGGCAGCGCGGACACAACATCCGCGCCGACGACGAGGGCGGACGCGACGTCCGCGCCGACGGGCAGCGCGGACGCGACATCCGCGCCGACGACGAGGGCGGACGCGACGTCCGCGCCGACGGGCAGCGCGGACGCGACATCCGCGCCGACGACGAGGGCGGACGCGACGTCCGCGCCGACGGGCAGCGCGGACGCGACATCCGCGCCGACGACGAGGGCGGACGCGACGTCCGCGCCGACGGGCAGCGCGGACGCGACATCCGCGCCAACGACGAGGGCGGACGTGACGTCCGCGCCGACGGGCAGCGCGGACGCGCCACCCGCGCCGACGACGAGGGCGGTCGCGACGTCCGCGCCGACGGGCAGCGCGGACGCGACATCCGCGGACAGCCGCCGCGGTCGGGACGAACGCGGGCAGCCGCCGCGGACGGGACGAACGCGGGCAGCCGCCGCGGACGGGACGAACGCGGGCAGCCGCCGCGGACGGGACGAACGCGGGCAACCGCCGAGGACGGGACGAACGCGGGCAGCAGCTACGGACGGGACGAACGCGGGCAGCAGCCGCGGACGGGACGAACGCGGGCAGCCGCGAACGCGACCAGACGGGGGAGTACCCAGCTGCGGACAGCACGCAACTCATCCCCACCACTGACCGCGCCGTCCCTCCGGACAGCGTCGTCACCTCTAGCACCTCCACCGTCCCCTCCTCCCCCCCCCCCCCCCCCCCCTCCCCCCCCCCCTCCTCCCTCACTCGTTATGGCAGACGAACCTTCGTCGCTTGAGCTCGCCTCGATTGACAAACTCGAGCTCCTCAACGGCACCACCGCAGTCAATTGGGTGTCGTTTGAGGAGAATCTCTTCACGTACCTTGGCTCCGTCCGAGTGGGAGATTATTGCCTTCTTGACGTCGTCCTCGAAACGCCTCACGGCCTCCCTCCCACCCCGCCCCCGCTCCCAGGCTCCTCCCCTCCTGACGCCCCACCACTCCCGACCGAACCCGCCCCTCAAGCCCCCATCCTAGGGGCTTGGGAGGATGACCCAGACAGGTGGGCTCGCACCCTCAACAAGTACAACAAGGAGCGAGACGACTACGTCATCAAGGGCAGAGCACACGCGGCTGCCGTCGCCGCTCACGAAGCTGCTACTGCAAAGCTTGCAGAGTTCAAAGCCATCTCCGAAGCATACTCTACTAACCTTCGTAAGCATCACTCCGATACTGCTGCATGGCGCATTGCTGACCGCCGTGCACTCACTGTCATCTTCTCGTGCGTTCCCTCCTCCCTTAAACGTGACCTTCGCCCTCCATCCTCCCCCTCTCTCTGGAAGTCTCTCTCCGCCCAATATGACCGTCAGGACTTACGCTCACTCCTCTCCCTCTTTCGCACCTTCCAAGACATCACCCTTGACTCCTCCCTCAATGCTGCCTCCTTCGCTCGGCGTCTCACGGACACTGCGCAACGCCTCAATGATCGAGGCATCTTGATCTCAGACACCCTTCTTACAGCACGCATCCTTGACTGCCTCCCACCCACCTATGACACTTACCGCATCAACTTCACCTCCCAGCACATTCGTCCTCCCCCTGTAGCTGTTACCATCGACTGGCTCCTTGACAGTGAGACTGACCTCCTGCGTGACTCTGCAACGGTCAATGCTGTTCACGCTCGCAAAGGAACCAATAACACTGGCGGAAGCAGCAGCAGCGGACCTGGACGTGGTTCATGTGGAGGAGGTCGAGGAGGCGGTCGCGGAGGCGGACGAGGAGGGCGCACTGGGGAACGCGGCGGACGTGGAGCAACTACTCCATCCACGGGTGGGTTTCCCCCGTGTCAGTACGTCATTCGTCAAGGCCCCAACAAAGGTCAGACCTGCAACCAGACCACTCATCCAACTGAAACGTGCTTCAAAGCCCTCACTGATGAATGGCTTGCACGCGGCAACACAGGTCCCCCTCCACGTTGGAACACTATCACCCCTCGCCCCACCCCTCATGATATTCGCACCCTCTCCACCTATGCACCCTCTCCACCTAACCTCCATAATGTCCTCGCTCAGCACCTCTCCCCTCACGTCCTCCAGCAAGTCCAACACCTTCTTCCCACACCCACCACCACCCCTACGCCCTCCACCCTCACCACTCCGCCTCCACCCACGCCCCCACCTCCAACCCCTCCCTCCCCCTATCCTCCTCTCTATCCTCCTCCTTATGCCGGCTGGCCCTACCCTCCCTACCCCCCATCTATGTATGGCCATAGAACTGCCGCAACTGCTGCAACTACTGAACAACCCACCTCCTCCTCTCACCCCCCCGGCTTCACACCGTTTCCTTCCACAGGCTTCATAGGTCATGTCACCACTGCTAGCTCTTGCAATAATCCTATGTATGCCAATGCTATTAATGAGTCCTCATTCCAGTACTCCGTGTCCTCCTCCTCCCAGCCCCTTGAGTTCATCCTTGACAGCGGTGCCACCCACACGGTCCTTCGTGATGCAGGCACGCTCCTCCCCCTCTCCACCCCCTCCACAATCTATGGGGCTGACTCAAGCTTTGCCATACAAAGCCGTTACACCTCCACACTCCCCTGTCCCTTCTTTCCCTCAGGTACTGTCACAGGTCTCTATGTCCCCTCCCTTCGTAACAACCTGGTTTCCCTTGGTGCCCTCTCAACGGCAGGTGTCACCGCCTTATTTCCTGGTCACGCAGCATATTGTGACTTATTTCATACCCCCTCCGGTCGCTTCCTCTGCCGTGTCCATCGGTGCCCCTCCACCCATATGTACACCTTCCGCATCCCCCGCCCCACCCTTCACCAACTCTCCACACCCCCCTCCCTTCCCCCTCCCCCTCCCCCTCCCCCTCCCCCTCCCCCTCCCCCTCCCCCTCCCCCTCCCCCTCCCCCTCCCCCTCCCCCTCCCCCTCCCCCTCCCCCTCCCCCTCCCCCTCCCCCCGCCCCTTCCCCCCCCCCCCCCATCGAACCCACCCTCTCCCTGTCACTGTCGTAATCTCACACACCCCACCATTCTCCTCCACCATCGCCTAGGCCATCCCAACTTTGCCACCCTTCGCCGATCCATCCTCACTAAACTCCTTGACGGTCTCCCCCTTACCCTTCCCCCCCTCCCTCCGTCCCCCTCCCCTCCTTGCTCAGTTTGTGTTGAAAGCAAGCTGAAGCAACAACCACACACGAGTAACCCCTCCTTTTCCCTCCAACCCCTTGACCTCGTTTACATGGATATGTGGGGCCCTAACACTTCCCCCACCAGGCAAGGACATCGCTATCTCCTGATCCTGGTGGATGATCACAGTCGATACTCCTCCGTCACCCTCCTTCGTACGAAGGTGGAGGCCCCGGCTGCCATCACTGCCTGGGCTGAACAAGCACGCAACCACTTCGGTCGCCCTGTTCGCCGCTTCCATTCCGATGGAGGCGGTGAGTTCCTCAACCACACCCTGTCCTCCTACTGCACCACTCACGGCATCCTCCACACCTACACTCTCCCTCACTCCCCTCAGCAGAATGGTGTGGCGGAGAGCCGCGTGCGGGAGATCACCAAAACGGCTCGGTGCCTCCTCGTTCACGCCTCCTGCCCACCTTCTCTGTGGGGCTATGCCATCCTTCATGCTGCCATCCTCACTAACCTCTACCCCCACCCTTCCCGTCCCACCTCCACCCCCACCGAACTATGGACCTCCAGCAAGCCTGACATATCTCCTCTGCGCGTCTGGGGTTGCAAGGCGTATGTCCTCATACACCCTGCTGACCGCTCACGCGCACGTGGAAAGCTTGCGTCCCGCACACTCCCCTGTGTCTACCTTGGACACAACACCAACTCACCTGACTACCTTTTCCTCCACCCCCCCTCAGGCCGCCTCATCCGTAGTCGGGACGTGGTCTTTGACGAGGCCACCCCGTACTACACCTCCCCCTCCGCCCCTAACCCCCTTTCCCCATTTCCCCGGCCCCTTCTCTGGACTGACACCCTGCCCCTCCTCCCGTCCCCTGCCATGACCCCTCCCCCCCCTCCCCCACCCCTCCCCCCCTCTCCCCTCTCCTCCAGCTCCTCCGGCGACATCCTTAACCCACCCCCCCCCTCCCCCTCCCACTCCACTACCTCACCTTCCGCTGCAACCCACCTCCCTCCTCCTCCTCCCCCTCCTCCACCTCCCCCACCCCCTTCCCCTCCATCCCCCCTCCCCTCCTCTAATCCGGCCCCCCCTCCTCCTCCCCCCCCCCTTCCCCAGCGCCCCTCCCCTACCCTTGTCCTTCCACGCTTTCATCCACAACCGCTCCTTCATCGACGTCCCTCGCCCTGCCAAGACCAATGTCGTCAAAGGCAAATGGCTCTTCCGTGTCAAGCTTCTCCCTGGCGAAGACCCTGTTTACAAAGCTCGCTATGTGGCGAAGGGCTTCACGCAAAAGCACGGCTTTGACTTCTTCGAAACATACTCACCCACTGCTACCCCACCGGTCGTTCGGGTGTTCCTCGACTTCGTCGGCAGACGCGGCATGCTGTTACACTCCATGGATGTCACTACCACCTTCCTCCAAGGCGACCTACACGAACTCATCTTCATGGAACGCCCCAAAGGCTTCCACGCTCCACATGACCCGTCCACCGTTTGGAAGCTGCTCCGACCCGTCTACGGCCTCAAGCAAGCACCCCGGGAGTGGCATGCCAAGCTCTCTTCCACCCTTCGCGAGCTTGGTTTTCGCCCCTCCCGAGCTGCCTCCAGCCTCTTCCTTCGGACGACTCCGTCCCCTTTCTACATTCTCGTCTACGTCGACGACATGCTACTAGCCGCTGACACAGATGCTGAGATGCAGGAGGTCAAGGACGAACTACAGCGTCGCCTCGCCTGCAAAGACCTGGGGGAGGTCCGCAACTACCTTGGCATGGAGATCACCCGCGACCTCAAGGCTAAGACTATCTCCCTCTCTCAGTCCTTCTACATTGAGAAGGTCCTTGAGAGGTTTGGAATGTCAAAAGCCAAGCCCATCGCCACCCCGCTTGCAGTTGGGCACCAGCTCTCGCCCCCTGCCACCCCCACCGACTCCTCTAACCCCTATGCAGAACTTGTCGGGGCCCTGATGTACGCCATGGTCTGCACCCGCCCCGACCTTGCCTACCCAGTCAGTGTTCTGGCGCGATTCGTTGGTGTCGGCAGGCACACGGAGGAACACATGACGGCAGCCCGGCGTGTCCTACGCTACCTTCAACACACGAAGGATTACACCCTCACCCTTGGTGGAGCAGACCCGCCGGTTCTCACTGGCTTCAGCGACTCGTCCTGGGCAGACTCACAGCCTGATCGTCGCAGCTCACAAGGATATGGCTTCACCCTTGGGAGCGGCCTCATCAGCTGGCGCTCCACCCGCTCCTCCTCCATCGCCCTCTCCTCCTGCGAGGCTGAACTGTACGCGGTCACGATGGCAGCACAGGAAGCACGCTGGCTCAGCTATCTCCTCACAGACCTTGGCTCACCACAGCCTTGTCCCACTCTCTGGTGTGACAACGCCAGCACCATCCACCTCACCAAAGAAGTTGTGTTCCATGGTCGCTCCAAGCATATCGAGCTCCGACACTACTTCGTCCGTGATCTTGTCCAGGATGGCCACATTACCGTGCGCAAGATCGACTCTTCCTCCAACCCCGCCGACATATTCACTAAGGCCCTCGACCGCTCTACTCACTCGGCAATTTTGCCGCTCCTGGGCCTTGCTCCCCATGGTGACTGATTCAGGGGTTGCTGTCTTATCTCATCCAGGTTTATAGATCTATGCAGGCTAAGGGGTTGTGTTAGATTATACTACTCTTCTGTATCCTGCATTGATCCTATAAACCCTAGGACAGAGATAGGCACCCAAACTATGTTTGGGTGCACAACTAGGGTTAACCCTAGTTGGGGGTTGGAACCCAACCTTGGTCCAATTATTGGCCCCCAAGGTTGAGTTGAGAGATTATTGGCCCCCCCCAATAATGTTGGCCCACTTTTGGCCAACATTATTGGGACCCCCCAATAATTCTCCAACCTAACTTATTGGTGGGGGGCCAATAATGATGACTAGGTACCCAACCAACCCCCCTCCCCTAGCTTCAACTATGTAAGCCCGTATGATTCCTAATTAACTCAATGGTTCAATTCTAACATTCCCTCCCATCCCTCTCCTCTCTCCCAACCCGTCACAGGGCACAGTTTGCATGCTCATCCACCGTTTTTAGCACCTTTTTTCTTTTTTAGGCACCTGAGAAACGATATGTGACGAATTTTCAGGCACCTTAAGAATGGACCCATCCCCCCTGCCCCCCCACCTCTCACAGGACACGGTTCTCATTCTCACTCACGCGCTCGTGGGCCCGCCTCCCCTTCCCTTCTCCTCCCCTGCACGCCTCCTCTCCCACCTCATTCGCTTGGCTTCACTCCACCTTCCCTCCCCCACCTCGCCTGCTGCTGTCACCGCTGCAGCAGCACCAACAGCAACAGACCCAGCAGCAGCAGCGGCGACAGTGGGAGCATCGAATCCAGCAGCAGTAGCAGCAGCAGCAGCAGCAGCAGCAGCAGCAGCAGCAATCCCTGCGGGTTCTGTAGGTGACGCTTTGACCTCCCCTGTCTCCTCTCCTCTCTCCTCGCCCCTCTTCCACCGCCACCGAACCAACCTGATCTCCTGGACCGTCCAAGCCTGCTGCTCAGGCTCGGGTTCGGGCTCTGTCTCAGCCCCACTAGGTCCGGTGGACATGCCACGTGTCGCGTTCTCATTGGACCTCCTGCGGCTGCTGAGGCGAGAGGGGCAGGAACCCTCTGCTGCTGCTTGCTGTGCTCCGCTCGCTGCTCTGGTGGGGGAGGGGAGGGTGAGGGGAGAGACAGTGCAAGGTGGAGAGGGGAGGGTGAGGAGAGAGACAGTGCAAGGTGGAGAGGAGAGGGTGAGGAGAGGGGCGGTGGAGGGGGAAGACGTAGAGAAACGCGTGGGTACTGTTAGTGGGGCGATGAGAGGCTTAGAGGAGAGGGAGGAGGAGGAGGATTGGGCGGTGAGGGTGGCTTTACGGGTGGTGAAGGAGGCGGTGCAGGAGGGGTGGTTGCATGCTGGCAACATGGCTCTGGTGCTGCTGCTGGCACATGCGAGACGAGGGCTTCGAGAAGAGGTGAGGGCGAGGGGCAAGAAGTAAGAGTGTTTGACATGAAGCGTGGAGAGAATCATTTCATGGGGGGTGGTTGCATTGCATGCTGGCGACATGGCGCTGCGCTGATGCTGCTCCTGGCACATGCGAGACGAGGGTTTCAAGAAGAGGTAAGGGCGAAGGGAAAAGCGGGAGAGGGAAGTGGTAAGGAAACATAAAAGAGGTAACAGAAAGGGAGAAAGGGGGCAGAGAGGCTTCAAGGATCGTGTCAGTATTTTGTGAAAAACTCGTTGCTTTCGAGGACTCGTTGCTTTCGAGGACTTGTTGACTTTTTGAGTCGACTCAACAGTCACCTCGTAGGATCGTGTGAGAGAGTTTTGAAGGACTCGTTGCTTTCCCCTCGAGTGCCCTCCTTCCCTGCCGCTCTCCCCCCCGGCTGCCCCCCACCCCATCCCTTGCCATTGCCAGGCCGCCTCTCTCCTCCACTGCCTCTCACGTGCCAACATCCCTGTACCGGGCGGCGCACTGCTAGACGTGCTGCGGGCAGCAGCAGCACACAGGCAGGCGGACTTTTTTGTCTTCTTGCTGCGGGAGTGGGTAGCGGCTGATGTGACTGTATTGGGTGGCCCGTGGGCCCTAGAGGAGGTGCTGCAGCTGCTGCTGCGCTGCAGACGACCTCACCAGGTGAGGGTCAAGAGGGTGTGTGCCATGCTGTTATTTCTGCTGCAGCACCAGGTGTATTGGGTGGCCCGCGGGCTCTAGAGGAGGTGCTGCAGCTGCTGCTAAGATGCAGACGACCTCACCAGGTCAGAAGCATGCTGCTAGTGGTGCTAGTGGTGCTAATGCAGCTAATGCTGCTGCTACCGCTTCTGCTGCTGTTGCCACTGCCGCAGCTGCCACCTTTTCTCCCTTACTGTTCTCCTCTTCTCTCTGCCGTCACCACCCGGCCTCATCGCTCTCTCGTCACCACCTCCCCCCCCTTACTCCCACCCTCTGCCAGGCCGTGTCATGGTTCCGCTGCTGCTTGGGAGCGTACCCACACGCACCCCCGTCGCCAGCAGTGGTGGGGGCGCTGCTGCATTCCGTACCCCTGACTGTAACCCACCCCCCCCTCCGCATCCGCCACCACCTTCCCCTCTTCCCCCCTTCCCCCCTCTTTTCTCCCACCCTCTGCCAGGCTGTGTCGTGGTTCCGGCGCTTCCTGGGAGCGTACCCGCACGGCCCCCCCTCTCCAGCAGGGGTGCGCGCGCTGCTGCACTCTGTACCCCTGACCGTAAACTCTCCATTCCTACCACCTTCCTTCCCCTCCCCCCCTCCCCCCCTCCCCTGTCGCCCAGGCCGTGTCGTGGTTCCGGCGGTGTCTGGGAGCACACCCGCACGCACCCCTTTCGCCAGCAGTGGTGCGAGTGCTGCTGCATGCGCTGCAGAGGAGAAGCATGTGGCACGAGATGCTGGACGTGTTCGGGTCGCTACAACACTACCCGGGCTATCATGACAAGGTGAGGAGAGGCTTGGGGAATGCGAGGTGCTCAGGGGGTGTGGGGCCTGCTGCATGCGCTGCAGAGGAGAAGTATGCGGCACGAGATGCTGGACGTGTTCGGGTCTCTGCAAGAATTCCCGGGCTATCATGATAAGGTGAGGGGAGGATAAGGTGAGGGGAGGATAAGGTGAGGGGAGGATAAGGTGAGGGGAGGATAAGGTGAGGGGAGGATAAGGGAATGCGAGGGGTGCAGGGGGGACGGGGAATGGTTGTTGCATGCGCTGCAGAGGAGAAGTATGCGGCACGAGATGCTGGACGTGTTCGGGTCTTTGCTGGGCTACCCAGGCTATCATGACAAGGTGAGGGGAGGCTTGGGGTATGTGAGGCGTGCGTGCAGTCTACACTACACCACTTTCCTCCGCACGCTCCTCCACTGCTGCCAGCCCAAGCTCTTCGCAATGTGTGCATCTTTGTGTCTCGCATGTGTGTGCATGCATGACTCATGGCAGGTCACCTCCACCACACTCATCCGCACGCTCCTCCACTGCTGCCAGCCAAAGCTCGCACTCACCCTCTTCCGAGACATGCGTCCCTTTGCCTCTGCCCTCTTCCATGCACAGCAGATCAACTACACGACGGTCATCCGCACGCTCCTGCACTGCCGCCAGCCCAAGCTCGCACTCAACCTCGTCCGCAATGTGTGTCCCTGTGTCTATTGTATGTGTACACGCACATGCTCGGCCCATGGCAGGTCAACTACACGACGGTCATCCGCACGCTCCTCCACTGCCGCCAGCCAAAGCTCGCACTCACCCTTTTCCGAGACATGCTCACATCAGGGGTGCTTCAATGCGACACCCACGGGCGGGTGCTGACAGGCCGTGGTAACGACGCCACCCATGAGAGGCTGCTGCAGGCCGTGCGGCATGCGGCTTGCCTGGTTGGTGATAGAGAGGTGCTCGGCATGGTGGGCGGTGCTGCTATGGCTGCTCACAGCAAGACAAGGAGGGAGAGATTCAGACCCGATCCTCCTCCTGGGGTTGGGGATGAGACAGACTCTTCTCCAATGCCGAGTTCTCCTGATGGCCAAAGCTTGTGAGTGGTGTAGTTCACGGTGTACGACGGCCACGGGTCGGTGTTGGTAACCGACGGTACCGATGTGAGGTCGCCGCAATGCAGGCTGTGTGGCATGCAGCTCTCCTGGTGGGCGACAGGGACAGGGAGGTGCTCGGCATGGTGGGTGGTGGTGATGTGGCTGCTAGCAGCAAGACCAGGAGCGAGAGTTTTAGACAACCAGGGTTCACAAAGTAAGGCAGATCAGGTGTTGCGGGTAAACCCGAGAGATAAGTATTGGTGATTAGCACCAGCACTGTAGGGAGGGAGGTGTAATAATCTACCAAGCACTAGTGTTCAGCTTTCGGGTTGTATAGACAAGTGTTGGTGATTGGCTGCACTGTAGGAATATGAAGGTACCAAACCTAGTGTTCAGCTTTCAGTCTACTAGTAACCAGTGTGGTATAAATGGCATTGTCCGGTGCAAGAAAGTCCAAAGTGGTGAGCGTATTAGTGGATTAACTGGGTTGTGGAAATAATGTTTTATTTGGTCAAAGAATTTCCCAAGCGCAGTATAACGTTGTTGGTATAATCATCTGCCGAATCTGTGCCAAATTCGTTTCGGCAGAACGCCAGAGTGGTGGGTGGGGTAGAAACAGCCAACAGCCAGCCACACTTCTCCGTTTTGCGTGTCCGCCAGCAGAAAGGACTGTTGAGCTAGTCGACCAATCAGATGCACGAGAAAGGAAACCGCTGCTCGGATACGAACAACGGACGCAACTGGTGAAGTCAGAATGGGACTGGATGGGTGGGACTTTCTTCGAGTGAGCCGGTTTGACTGGCATTGGTTTGGCAGTGAAATTACCGGGACCAGGCATTTTCCCTTGATTCCCTGAACATTACGGCCTGCGTTTCGAGCAGCTCGACCATATAAAGTGTTATAGGCCTGGCACCCGTGACAGTTTAAGGGCCTCGTTTGGGCCTTCCCCTGAATCAAAGTTTTGGTTTCTGTTTTGAAGGACCCCCCCCACGCGAATTCCCGCCGCCATCCCCTCCCCCCCAACCCCCACTCCCCGATATTTTTGCCGACGGTGTTTTTGCGGACGATGCAGAGGCTGTAGGCGTGTAGATGAGTAGTTTGTGTGTACCTTTTTCCGGCTAAGTAAGAGTATTTTTTTCCCGTGGTACATTAGGGCCAAAGTACACTTTCATAAGAAGCCCTGATTTCAACTTTTGAATTTGGCCTACGCCCGTGAAAATCAGGGCAAGAATTCGAACAGCTCAGGACTCAAATTTTTTTGCCCAGGGACTTCGACAGGCCTGACCGGGACCAGATGTACTTTGTACGCCCCTCAAACCGATCTATTACCTGCGAACAGTATTGTAGACCGAAGTAGTATTGTTACTGCGGTCCTGCAGTAACAGCCATTTGCGGTGCCGGGCAGCTCACCATTCGGGGTGACGTCTGTCCCTTCTGACCAACAGCTAGCGCTGTGGGAAGTGAGGACCCATGAGTTATGACCATGGCTCGTGGCAACTGTGCAGTCCTCGTTCAAGTGTGCGTTTCCTTGCCGTTTCTAGCTCCTCGCACCATTCACAGCCTGACAAATTCCGAGGTACCCCCGAATGTAAGAGACAGCGTCGCAGTGTTCAATCGACCCAACTTTCATAAGAAGCGAGCTCGGGTCATCTTTTAGCATTGCCTTCCGAGTCGTTCCAAAACCATCCTCCATCGCACCGCGAAGTCCCGAGGATAAGACCTCGAGTTCGCCTGCTCCGCCCTCGATTGAGTTGCCGATTCTTGTCAGTATTGACCTCCAAAGCGCTTAGCAGCAACGCGTCGATTGGAATTCGACTCGCTCGGAGAACATCTCGGAAGTACGAGCTACGACACAAGCTACTTTGTTGTTTAGTAGGTCGCAATACGTACCAGATCCGCAAGGATCCAAATAGAGACCGTGAAAACTCTTGAGGCGACTCAAAAAGGGTAATTGCGATTAGCAGGTCGCATTTCGTGTACGTACCAGATCCTGAAGGATCCGAGTAGAGTCCCTGAAGGTCTCACCACATCGCGAACCAAGAAGAGCGCATTTGGAACGATGGCACCGCCGTTTAACTCCGGTACGACGAAGCTCGATACTCTATTCAGCGTGGGCGAGGAGCGGACGGTCGTACTCGCTATAGACACTTGCAAGTCGTGCCTTAACGCGTTCGACTCCCTCGCTGCCTCCTGCCACAAAACGCAATCATTCCTCCCCGCGAATCTCGCCGCTTCTTCTACGGAGTTCCAACTCAAACCGACGGACCGCCTTGTGGTGGTGTTCCACCACGCGAACCACACGCCCATTAGCATCATGACACGTGGCACTGGAAAGCTTCGCGACGGGTCAAACGACAGATTGAGCGACAAATCGAGCGACAGCCAATCGGAAAACAGCCCCGCGTCGCCGTCGACCCCGCGGTCCATCTTATCTGTGCTCCTGAGTCCTCTGGCCGCGGGAAGCTCGAAGCTCCGATCGACCGCATCCTGCGCCGACGACGGCGGGGACGACAGCGTCGCGCCGCCCAGGCTAAGTAAGCGCTTAACTCCCGTCATCGTTCTTCTCTTTACGAATATGTGTTAACGCCCTTCCTTCACCACCCTCTTGCCCCCGCCACCCTCTTCCGCTCCGCCTCGTCCTAACACCGCCCACTCCCGCCTTCCTCTCCACCCCTACAGGAAAGGCTTTTACCTCTGCTGCCATTTCTAACAATAGCCGACCTTGCTGATTCCTTATCCCCCTTCTTCCATCCCCCAGACCTCCCGCGTCATCAGCTGTGGCGGCCGCAGCTAAACCCTTCAAACGTGGTGCGGCAGATGCAAGAGGCGGGGCGCGCGGACGCGGCGCCGGTGGTGGTGATGGCGCTGATGGCGGAGCGCGAGGTTCGGCGCACGCTGGCGGAGAGGACGGCGTGGGATCGACGCACCAAGCGCGCGGTCATGCGCATGGCAGCTGTTGCGCGCGTGTGCAAGGTGAGGAAGGAGGGGGAAGGTGGGTTTGGTAGGGAATGCAAGGCGAGGGTACTGCGGGAGGTCGCCACGTGGGGGTGGTAGGGGCGTGCAAGGCGGAGATCATCTGGAACGGACGCTGGTGCTTCTATTGTTCAGGCACCTCCGAATCCGCGAGTCGGGGGCGTGCAACGTGAGGGGCATCAGGGTGATGGTGATGGGATTTGCAAGCTGCAAGGCAATGCGAGGTGCGCACAAGGGCGCAGCAAGGCAATGCGAGGCAATTGGATTGTGATGAAGGCGGTGCACGGTGGCACGGCTTCTGAGGGCCTGCCTTCTGACACATGTGCTCCGTGCTTGCTCTCATACTCTGCAGCATGCTCTCCACATTTCCTCCAATCCCCCTGGCGTTTTGCAGATTAGGTTCGAGGCCATCGACCTCTCAGACATCGCAGGAGAGCCGGACGGCAGCAGAAAACGGGACATTAATCCCGCCCCATCCTCGCAATCGCCGCCCTCACGATCTCCGAGAAAAACCTCTGAAAAATCACCGCCTTCGCAGGCACTCTCGTGGGAGGCAAAGGCAGAAGCGGTGATTCGGTTCTGTCGGCATATCAATGCGGAACTGCTGCTTCTCCCCTCCTCCCATGCGTGTAAAGCGCTCAACTTCTCTGGCAAATTCGCCTCCAATAATTTCACGATTCGCTGTGCCCGAGACGCACCCTGTCCGTTGATCAAGCTTGGAGCTGATATAGGTGGTGACCGGAAGGATGGGCAAACGAGGAGTTGCATAGGCCATGGATCGGTGACAGTGGAGGATAGTCAAGTGCCTCGGAGCGCCACGGTGGATGAAATTGCAATGTAACAGCACAAGAATCTGTACATTAAAGTTGTAAGGAATTTTCCCTAATTCCTTACTGAGTCACACTGTACGCGTACAGACCCCAACATTTCGGAGTTCAGGCTCGGTCCAACAACCTAGCCCTCCGAACCACCGTCGCGTCGCCTTCGGGTTTCCCAACCCCGAACCTGCACCCAGCCATCCGCGGTCCCGCGACCTCGACCTAGCTAGCAGTTGCTATATTAGTGCTAGGCTTCATTATTTGGTCAGTAATTGTTATCACTTCAGCGTTATTGAATCCTGCGCACTCTCTTCATTACAACTCATAACAGTTGGTATCAGAGCTACTTTCATAGGTTACCCTCACGTTTCCGGGGTAGTTTGTGTAAGGGGAAGCGATAGACTTAGTGGGCTGCAAAGCGGTCGGCCTGTGAAATAGGTACGATTATTTCACTTCGACTACGATAGCGTTTGCGCCTTCACTAAAAGTCATAAAAACCGCTAACCACCCCCTGCCCGTCCGACGAAGCCTGCGAAATATGGACCAGGCGGAGTTGAACGGGTTTATGCAACAATTTCGGGCGATGCAGGCTAACATGCAGACGATGTCTGTGGAGGTCGAACGCCTGAGGAAGGAAAACGCCAAACTACACCAGGCGCGTGGTGCAGCGCGCCAAGAGTCACCCGTCGTGGATGAAGCAAGTAGTAGCTCCACGCCGAACGAGGCCGTCTTCAGCGAGCTCGAGAGCTCCATGAATGATGCAGAAGAAGAGCGGGCGCAGCAGCAACAGTCGCGAGCAGTGCCGACACATGCACCAGCGACAGCAGAGGCGTCGACATCAGCAGCAGCAACAGTTCCAACGGCAGTGACAGCTTCAACAACTGTCAAGATCAAGCCGACGAACCCGCCCCCATACAAGTTTGTCACTGTTTCTGCATGGTTGTTTAGTGCGGAGGTGTTCTTTAATGCTGCGATGATTAACGATGATGCCACCCGCATTAATTTTGCAGTTTCACTGTTACGAGGACCTGCGTTGGAGTGGTGGCGACACACGCTGCAAACCGAGGGGACTTCGGTAGGGACAACACGTGCGAACGACGAGACCTCGACACCTGTCACGCAACAAGCAGCTTCGATTTTCGGAACGGCCACGATACGCACATGGAAGGAGTGGGGCGCCGCCTTGCGAGCCAGATTCGAGCACATATCCGCCTCGGACTCTGCCCGCATGAAGCTGCGTGCCTGGAAGCAGCTGACTTCGGTCCAAGACTACACCAGCACGTTCTGCAACTTGGCTGACCAGGTGGACGATATGAGCGACGCGGAGCGGATGGATCGCTACGTGGCGGGCCTGAAATACGAAATTCAATATGAGGTCCGACGAACGCGGCCATGCAGCTATAACGACGCCGTCCGAGAAGCTGAGTCAACGGATGCACTGATGCAGTGGGCGAGATCGAGCTCCCGGGAAGGCCCTCGATTTCGTGGATCGACGCAGCAGCCCACGATCAACGGTGTGGATGTGCCAAGCCGAGCCATTGGGCCGTGCTTTGCATGCAACCAACTGGGCCACCCGAAAAGAGACTGCCCGAAGCTGAAATAAGGAAAAAGGAACGACGGAGAAGGGTCGGGAAAAGAGACGAGTCAGTAGCAGGCGGGCGCCCTACTGACGAGACCCTGTCGCCCGACAATCACCATCCACACCGAGTTGTGGTACCGATCCGAGCTATCGACCGCAATCGGACGAATAACGTGGGTGAACACGTGGACCACCCTGTGCTGGTAGTAGGGAGGGTTAACGGTTACAAAATAAAAACATTCGTTGACGGCGGGGCTAGCCACAGCCTCATCAACTTGTCAACAGCCAAAAAAATTGGGGTGACGCTGACCAGGTGTCTGCCGGAGATTGACGCAAGGCTGGTGGATGGGACACCGCTGGCCATTCGAGATGAAGCGCGAAAAAATTGGTTAAAGTGCGGCGACAATTTTGGGTTCGGCATGAAGATGCTTGCGACGACATTGGACGGCTGCGATGTACTGCTGGGGCGAGACTGGCTGCAACGATACAATCCAATGATCGACTGGACAACGAGGGCATGCACCGTGCGAGGAAATACGGGGCATACGACGCTTCCGAAATGGACGGACCCGGAGCCGGTGACTACACGTGTCAACGCTGTCACCATGTGGCGAGCAATAAGCAAGGGGGCACGAGGCTACGCTGTACACCTGTACGAGGTAGCAACCTCCGAAAAAACTGCGGACATCGACACGCTCTGTAAGGCAGTTCCTGAGGAGCTGGCAAGCATCATTCGGAAGTATCCCGACATTTTCGCGGATGACCTGCCCGATGGCCTGCCACCTCAACGTCCGGAAGATCACAGGATATAGCTGGAACCCGGCGCGCAACCAACTGTTCGAACACAGTGGCGGCTCAGCCAACCGGAGCTTGCGGAGTTGAGGAGCCAGCTGGACTATCTTCTCGCAAAAGGCTTTATCTGGCCAAGCACGTCACCATTCGCAGCACCCATACTGTTCACGCCGAAGAAGGATCGAGCGCTGAATAGGGTCACGATCAAATCGCGTTACCCGATCCCGCGAGTGGACGACCTGCTGGACCAGCTTCGCGGGTCTCGCTATTTCTCGAAGATCGACTTGCGAGGAGGCTACCACCAAATTCGCGTGTTCGCCGATGACAGCCCGAAGACTGCTTTTCGCACACGCTACGGCAGTTACGAATACACCGTGATGCCTTTCGGCCTGACAAACGCGCCCTCGATGTTCCAGTTAACCATGAACGGGGTGTTCCGGGACATGCTGGATAAAAAAGTTATCGTCTACCTCGACGACATCCTGGTGTACAGCAAAACTAAGGAGGAGCATTTCAAGGATCTGGAGGAAGTGTTCCGGCGCTTACAACAGAATTGGCTAATTATGAAGGGCTCTAAGTGCGAGTTCCTCAAGCCGGAACTGGAGATTCAGGGGCACGTGGTTTCAGGAGATGGCATTATAATCGACCCTCGGAAGGTGGGCGCAATCGCTAAGTGGAACCCGCCGACTAACATCACAGAGCTGCAAAGTTTCCTGGGGTTTGTCAATTACGTCCGCCGGTTTGTACCCAACATGGCAGGGGTAACCAAGCCTCTAACCGACCTGCTGCACAAGGACACGTATTTTCAGTGGGAGGAGAGGGAACAATCTGCATTCGACACCCTCAAAAATATTTTGAGTTCACCCCCGGTCCTCCGCCTCGCCGACCCATCTCGACCGTTCGAAATCATAACTGACGCCAGCGATTTCGCTATTGGCGCCGTCCTTCTACAGGATTTCGGCAAAGGGCTGCAACCCATCGCGTATGAATCACGTAAGATGCAGCCACCCGAGCGCAACTACCCAGTCCACAAGAAGGAAATGCTGGCCATCGTCCATGCGTTTCGTGTCTGGCGCTGCTACTTGACGGGAGCCGACGTGACGATCACAACTGACCACAAATCGCTACAATCCCTACGAAGCCAACCAACACTCAACCCGCGACAAATCAGGTGGTTGGACTACCTGGAATCCAACTTCAGCTACACCGTCACGTACAAGAAAGGCGCCAACAACATCGCCGACGCCTTGACATGACCATCCATGCAAGCCGCAGCTGTACTAGTCGCCCGCACCAACCCGATTTTAACAGGACTATTCACCCACGGCCACACAATCGACAGGTTCTTCAAGACTCTTCACCAACGAGCTACGACACCACACGGGAAATATTACCTAAAAGCCGGTACGAACCGGATTTGGGTCCCGGCATACCAACCCCTCCGGGAGCTGCTGACGCAGGAGGTTCATGACTCCAACCTCTCCGGGCATTTCGACATCAACAAAACACTCAAACTGCTGCAGAGTAATTATTATTGGCCCGACATGCCAACGGACGTGCAGCGCTACGTGACAACATGCCCAACCTGCCAAGCCATGAAGTCGTCGCGACAACGACCAGCTGGATTGCTGCAGCCCCTCGAGCCACCCGAACGACCGTGACAACAAGTGACGATGGACTTCGTCACGGGACTGCCAGCTGGTGCAAGTGGCAACGACTCGGTGCTGGTCATCGTTGACCGATTCACAAAATGGCGCACTTTGCACCATGCCGAACGACGATCACAACCGAACAAACAGCGAAGTTGTTTATCTCCACCGTTGTACGCCTACACGGGTTACCTACGGCGATCATCAGCGATCGGGATCCGAAATTTACGTCGAAATTCTGGC